ATTCGAGAGCTTTGGAAGGCTTTATCTCCCAAAACCTTCGTTGACAACGCGGCCGTTCGATGCCCTTGGCCCGGCGATGTCCAGCCTTGGTGTTGGAAGACTTGGGCTCCTGGCAGGGCTGAAGGCACCACTTTCCGCGCGCCAGGGGCCGTTTTCTTCCCTTACTCTTAGGAAGAGGCGGGTTTAGGACAGGTTTGCAGTCGGTGGGAAGAGGTGGGCTTGTGGGAAGAGGTGGCTTTGGAGTGCAAAGCACATGGGTATGTCTCAAAAGTGACGCACAAGGCGAATGAAAACTGGCAGCAGTCTCAGCCAGGGTCTTGGTTCCAGTCGCTTCTTTTTTAGCGATTTCAAGCACTTTTAACTCTCTTTCCAAAGTCCTTTTCATCTTTCCCTCACCCTCGCCCCACACCCGGCATACCTTGCGACGTCTCAGCCTCGCGCCTCGAGCACCGAAGAGCCCACAGACCTCAAACATCGGCCGGTGGCAAAGGCGCAAGTTGGATTTGGCTCGGACCGGCCCCAGTGCCATCGGGCGCGTTGCTGTTGTTTTCTTCTCTTCGAAACGTGCGCCGGGCAAGTCCCCCTTCGGGGAAGAATATAGGGGACCTCCTGCGGAAAACAAAGAGCGCAAGCAAGGGGGGGCCCTGAAGTAGTGGTCTTCCTAGAAACCTCTCAAGTTTCATCTAAATTTACTCCTCAAGGCTTCGTGGACCCGCCCTTCTAAGCCCAAGTACCCCCCCTTCTTGACTTACGACACGCATGGGCAACACGGCCAAACAACATGTAAAATGGCTGGTGCAACTGAGGGCCCGTGTCCACCCGAACAGCACTTGGTGCCCCTGAGGTCGCGAGCTCATGAGGCGACCTCAGGGGCACCAAGTGAAAGCACAAGACAGGCCAACCCACAAGCTAGAGATCATGAGTTCAGAGGTGCCCCCCCCAAAAAAAAAAGAAAAACAATTCTCAGATTTCGGAGGTGCAGAGCTTCGGAGGTCAGGGAAAACCACCTCCGGCTCAGAAGACCCCCGGACAGCTCTCCCCACCCTCCCCAGGCTCCAGCCCGCACCCTCGGGCGCGGAAGACTTTGAGGGTCCCGGCACCGGTGACGCCGAGCGCGCGCGGTTTCCCGAGGAGCCTACGCACGCAGGCACGGGCTTGGGCGAGGTCAGAACGTCTGCAAAGCCGAAAGACGGAAAGAAATGCAGAAAGAACCACAACCAACCAACCAACCAACCAGCCAGACAGACAGACAGACAGGCAGGGCGGGCAGGCGGGCAGGCAGGCAGGCAGGCAGGCAGGCAGAAAAGCAGATGTGTGACGCTCGTCAAGAGACATTCAAGATGAAACCGATTTGCCGCAATGAGTAACCGGTGCCTAGTCTCAACTCGTTGGTTCTGACATTCTGAGGGCGAAGGGCTACAACAGGTGGTCCGAAATGGCAAAAGGCGCGAGAGCTGCAAATTGGCTTAAGCAGCTTGACTAGCTTCCCTCATGCCAAATTAGGGTTAGAACCCGTGCTTGCAGCATGCTTAGCCCATCCCAATTCCGTGCTTGCTCCTTGGCAAACGTAAGCGCAGCCCAACCAGTATCCCCCAACAGCCCCGAAACCCTCCCCCAAAACCAGCATGGTCGACGACCAAAGGGCTCTCGAAAGACACGATTTGGGTAGAATACTTGAATGCCAGGTGAGCCACAATTAAGACCAGGGTACATGAAGGTTAGTAAGCGATCATCCCAACCATTGGGCGCGGCCTCCCTTGACCCCTCGGTTGACCAAAAGCGCCTCGTCGCTGGCTGCTGTAGCCTTGGAAGGGTTTCAGGCCTTTTACGCCTTCCCCGTACCACTCGGAGCTCTTGTTTGCCCCTGAGGTCTGGTATCGTCGATGGCTTTTGCCCCTGAGGCGCTTCTTGTTCGCAAGTGCAGCCTGCCCCAGGGAGCAAAAGTGAAGAACCAAAAGGCCCTGCAAACAAAAGTTGGCCTTGGACATCCCTTCATCCCCTTTGTCTACCAAACCAGCTAGGTCTGAAAAACCGGGGCGCTGGCTCGCAGGGCTTTGTCCCTGCGTAGGAAGCCGACGCAAGGGCCGAGGGATTCTTCCATTTCACGGGGAGCGAAAGCCATTTCACAGGGTTCCCTTAGGAGTTGGGACGTGGTTACCTACGGTCTCATGTGGCCATGGGTGAAAATCCCGGTTACCCCCCAGTGAACAGGTTCTAAAATGGGTGGGTGCAAAACACGGTTTTGACCTAGCTGAAGTTTGTGAAGCTCTTGGACGTAGTTCAATCCGAATCGGATGCAAGGGGCCCTTAGCTTCCAGAGAATACGGGAAGAGCCGAAGGCTTTCTAAATGGGGCCGAGTTCAACCCATGGGAAGTGGCTCCAGAGACTGATCGAAGGGTTCCCGAAAATCCCCAGGGCGGTGTCTTTCTGTTTCTTTTGTTCTAGTTGCTGTTTGTGCATTTATTGATTGATTCATTTGCTCTTTCTTTCTTTTTCTTTGGGGGGGGAGTCAGGGCCTCAAGTCCAGACCCCCTCCTCTGCAAGCCCTTCCGGCCTCGCCGTCGCCTAAGATCCAGGAGGGCTTCAGGGAAGGGGCCGAAAACTGGCTGGGACATGCTAGGCACGGGGAAAACAAAGAAAAAAAACACTTCCCTGCAAAAGCACCGCCATAGGTGGCCTCTTGGAAAAATAGATGGGCTTCCAACTGGTAAATGGGGCAAAACCCATCTAAACCAGTGGAACCCATCTATTTTTAACCAGGCTCACCTAAAAAGGACACCTATGGGCACCGCAGTACGTGCCAAAACGCGGCTGGCTGTGAAGTTCCTTCCTCTAGGCGCGGTCAAAGCCCCAACGATGAAGCGCTCGCTGACACGGCGCGGGTCGCGGAGTCCCAACAAGACCCTGAGGCATCAGACCGTCATCAAGGGTTGTGACGCCCCCAACCAACCCAAGCCCCCAAGCCCCCAAGCCCCCAACCCCCCAACCCCCCAACCCCCAACCCCCCAACCAACCCCCCAACCAACCCCCCAACCAACCCCCCAACCAACCCCCCAACCAACCCCCCAACCAACCCCCCCAACCAACCCCCCAACCAACCCCCCAACCAACCCCCCAACCAACCCCCCAACCAACCCCCCAACCAACCCCCCAACCAACCCCCCAACCAACCCCCCAACCGACCCCCCAACCGACCCCCCAAGCCCCCAAGCCCCCCAAGCCCCCAACCCCCCCCCCCCGAGCCCCCAACCCCCCAAGCCCCCAACCCTCCAATTTTTCAACCCCCCAACCCCCAACCCCCCAACCCCCAACCAACCCAACCCCCCTCACTAACCCCCCTAATTAACCCCCCAACCAACCCCCCAACCAACCCCCCAACCACCCCCAAGCCCCCAAGCCCTCAGCCCCCAACCCCCCAACCCCCCAACCCCCAACCAACCCCCAACCAACCCCCCAACCAACCCCCAACCAACCCCCCAACCAACCCCCCAACCAACCCCCCAAACCAACCCCTCAACCAACGAGCGACCCCCCAACCCACCCCCCAAGCCCCCAAGCCCCCAAGCCCCCAACCCCCCCCCAAGCCCGCAACCCCCCAAGCCCCCAACCCTCCAACCCCCCAACCCCCCAACCCCCAACCCCCCATTAACCCCCCAACCAACCCCCCAACCAACCCCCCAACCACCCCCAAGCCCCCAAGCCCCCAGCCCCCAACCCCCCAACCCCCCAACCCCCAACCCCCAACCCCCAACCAACCCCCCAACCAACCCCCCAACCACCCCCTAGCCCCCAAGCCCCCAGCCCCCAACCCCCCAACCCCCCCCAACCCCCAACCAAAACCAACCAACCCCCCAACCAACCCCCCCCCAACCAACCCCTCAACCAACCCCCCAACCCCCCAACCCCCCAACCAACCCCCCAAAAGCTTGAAATGCAGCCCAAAGGCACGTGATCTTTGCCCGTGCCCCAAAAGGTCAACTGAAAAAGGTCCTCGTATGTCCCTTTGAGCGCCCCAAAAGAATGTACATAGGGATTCTGACCCATCTGAGCAAACTAGGATAACTCACCAACCCCCCTGACAAACAAAGGAACCGTTTGTTCTGGGCTCAACTCCCCTCAAATAAAGAAAATGCCGAAATCTAAGGACCCGCCACCCCCCAACCCACCCACCCCCCGCATCCGCCATCTCCCACTTGCCGCCCCAGTGGCTTAGGCTTTGGGCTGCTTCCGGCCGCGGGGCCTCGCAGCAAGCTCTCGTTTTGCACCAAGGCAAAAAGAACGTGCCTGATGACGAAATATGACCACTCTGAATACTCGGCTTCTCTTTAAACCAACCTGGACTAAGCAACACACACGCACCCAATCCAAAGACCCTGAAGCAAACAACACATGCTTCCGCCCGGACTCCGTTGAAGAGTTAAAGCACGTCCCGCAAAACAAAACCAAAAGCGTCACTAACCAACACCAAAACAGGGGTATATGCACAAAGAAAAAAGAAAGAAAAGAAAAAAAATAACGCACTTGCTCTCCAAAGTAACAACCGTCTGCCCCAGCCCCAAAATCCGAAACCAGGCCCCCCGGCCAGCTGTAGCCTGGGACCGGTGACCGCGGGTTTTGGACAAAAATCCGTCATCACTGTTGAAAGTCAGAAGGGGGTGGTTTCCCCCCTTTGACCTACCCGCCTGTTCATGTTGCAAGGGACCAAAGAAATGGTCTCTTTGTAAGGAAATCCTCCCCTTGGCGGCTCAAGGATGCTCAACATGACACCCTTTGAGAGGCTGAAGAAGATCCATCTTGCTCAACAGAAAGAGCCATCCGCACCCATTCAAAGTTGGGATTGCCCCTTGATCGATAATTAACCCTCCCCGGCGCAGGTTTTGATTGTGGCTCCCTGGACATCCAAATTCGCGACACGGTGTTGGGGATCGACTGCAGGCGCCCGCGCTCCCCTTCCCCTTTTTCCGCCCGAAACAAGCTAAGTCTCCTTCCCGGCGCCCCCTCATGCCCGCATGAAGCTCATGGTGCCGTCACCCGAAAAGCCGGCGATGACGTTGCGGCTGGGGTGATGTACTATTCCAATGACCTGCCAGCATCCAGCCAAAGGCAACCTGTCCCGGAGGCATTCCTAAAACCACATCATTTGGCCACAACATCCTACCCTCTCCGCACAAGCCGTGGCCACACGCTTCTGCTCGGTGCGCCCTTGCCTCCTTGTCCGCAACCTTCAGTGTTTGCTCCAGGCCGCCGGAAGCAACTGAGAAGCAGTACCTAAGCTCTAACCGAGGCTCTTTGTGGCTCCAACTGCGTATCCCGAAAAGCACGTCAAAGAATGGTTTGGATTTTGCGGGCAAGTGGGGCAACCCAACTCACACGGTTCCGGAAGAGAATGCTCCATGGCTGCCCTCCCCCCCCTGTCGCGCCAAAGCTCCAGAGCCCAAGCCTATGCCGAGCTGCAAGGTGTTGTCTTCGGCCACTGCATGTAGCCACTCTCCTTTCGGAGAAATTGTCCTTAGGTCAACCCCCCCCCCCCCTTCCGGGGACCCAAAACTGTCCCTTTCTGTGAAGGCAAGCGGCATCGCGACAAAATCGCCCTTGTCCCTCTTGCCCGAGCAAAAGCTTTTCAGTACCTGTGTCCGGGCATCAAGGTCGCTTGCTGGCCAAGCCGGACAGAGATTCCGGATGCGAGGCTTGCTCCGAACGGTGGCAGATGAGGTTCAAGGGGACAAATTAGCGCTGACAACTCAAACGGCGATGCCACGCCTGCCCGGCGAGGTTCATGAGCCTGGCAACAAAGACAGCTGGCACAGCGACGATGTAGACAGCATGCATCCACGTGCGCCAGAAGCGTCTCATCTGCCAAGGCGCAGGATGGTGTTCGTCCTCGTGCACACCTGGTCAGCATTGCCGCTACATTGTCTTCGCAAGCCCAAAATGCCGTCTTTTTGCGAGCAAGGGATGATGATGCTTTGGCCTGGCATCGGATAGTACCCCTGAACATCGACTGCCTTCTTTGCACCCATGCGCCAGATGCGGGCACGGCACGAAGATGAGATCTTCGTGCTCACTATAGCCTGGAAGCTTGGGTGCCACAATCACCTGGCCAAGTGAGAGTATGGTGCCCTGCTCCCACGCCGTCACCACAGGCCCCTTCTTTTCAAGAGCATAATCAACTCCTTTCTGGGCATCGCTGCATGTTTGATCCGCAGAGCAAAAAGAGTGGCGACGAATGGAATGGAAGGGCATGCCAGACAAAGAACGCACACTTATGGGTACCCTCGAACACTACACTCCTGCAGAGTGGCATGGAACAACCACCCCCCCCCCCCGCATTGTTGGAGCAATCCGCCCTCTTTTGCAAAAAAAGCTTCCGTGTGGCTTTGCATAAGACGAGGCGCGGAGTTCACGGCATAGTCCATGATGGAGCTGCAGTGCGCCGGCGGCGGCGGCGTGAGGGTGTTCAGGATCTCTGAGGTCTTGGCGTCGAAGACGATCACGTGGCTGTCCTTGCCACGCTCGACACGCTTGACTCGCACCAGCCCGCGGAAAACGTGGTCCATGACGCAAAACATGGCTTGCTTGGTCTTGCTTTCCTTGTTGGGTGTTCGATGGATGCCCATTTTTTTCCGGCAGGGGGACTTGCAGAACCCCTAAGCTACGGCTTTCCATTGTGGCTGGTCACTCGCAAGATCTGCAGCATCCACAACAAAAATAAATTAATAGCGGTTGCGCAAAGGTGCCGCCCTCACAAAGTAAACTTCTGGCTGAAGGCGAGGCAACCATGGCAACATAGCAAAAGTTACAAGTCTTGTCGAAAAGTCAACAAAGGCAGCGATGAAATGAAAAGAGGAGATCGCGGTGATCACATATCTACCCGACAGATGTGTGAGTATGCCAACTGTTGTACAGGCGACCGACCCAGCCCGGCCAGCGTTTAACAATCTTAAACATTTTACACAGGCAGAGTTTATGAGAATGATACACTACAGTACCCCCGATTCCTTCTGCCTCGGCCCGCCCTGCACGCATTCATTTGTAGGCACCGTACATATGCCCATCAAGTACAGCAACCTGAAAACCTCTCCATATTCATGTGCATAATGGGCCCTGCCAATCATCGTCTTCTTCCCAGCCGCCCAACAATTATTCTTGAACTTGATGCCAAGTTGTCCCTAGACCGGATACCCTCTGAAGCAACGCATCCCAAAGTAAACGGGCCTACATCAAAATGAACTCGTTTCCCACGAGTATTGTTGAAATGGACTCCAAGTTGTCCGCAGACCAGAAAAGTGTCTCCCCAAGCTACATCAAAAAGAGCTCGTTTCACCTTGAGGCGGGCCCGCCCCTTTTATACCCTTTTCACATGGGACCGTTCGACGTTCTTGGGGTCCCAGTTTGGCCCATTGCCCTTTTAGGACCGCCGCTCCATGTCGAAGGGTTCCAGGTGAAAAGGGTGGGAGGGCAGATCGGAACCCCTCAGGCGCTCATTCACTCCGAGGCGCGGAGGAGCCCGTGATGACCCGGGAGTTGTCCTTGCGCGCATGTGTTCCGCGTGTCCGCCTTTCTCATCATTCGTGTCCAGGGATGAAGAAAAAACATGTGCGCATGACGGGGCAAATGCGATACATCTGAATACATATACATCTGCAGGTATACATAAACACAGATACATGTGTAAATCAATTGGTATGCTACATTGGCTCATATGCTTCCCAGTGGTTCCACGTAGTTTCCATGGGCAAGAATCAAGCCAAGGGTGGTGCAAACTCTAAGATACGTTCCACTGCCCTCAAACCATTCGCCATTTGTTTCACTCAACTGCAGTGATTTGGGGGCACCGTTTCTCCAACAATCTTGGACGTGGCCAAGATGTCCTTTTAAGAGGACAATAGTCTTCCAAAAGCCTCCTGTCCACTTCAGGATTGTTGGAAAAAGGGTAGTGGAAGCCATCTGGCACTCGGTTGCCAGAAAAATCCAGAAATACACGGTGGTCACCTTTTGGGACCTTGACTAAACATGGGAAACCAAGATGGGAAAGCCAAAGCAAATCCGGCCGATCCGATTCATGGGGCACCCCCTGAAAAGTCGTGGGGCTGTTGCCCGAAACCACCTGCGTTTGTCTCAAAGCAGGTGAAACCCCAACAAATTGGGTTGATGTCCTTTTGGTTCCCTTCCCCAAAGACCCAAAAAAAAAACTGGCATCCACTACTCTAGAGACATACCCGGCTGGCTACAGAAACCCGGTCGTTGGCGCAGCGCCTTGCCCCGACCCCGTCCTTGGAAAAGGACGCGGAGTTCACGTAGGACTTATGGCCCCGGAACTCCTTCAGCGTCTTCCCGGATTTGATGCCGTGCACCCGCGCGGTGAAGTCGAAGGAGCCTACGCCACGTATTGAATCGTATGCATGCATGCATGCATGGATCTGTGTGTGTGATATTTGTATGTATGTATGTCTGTCTGTCTGTCTGTCTGTCTGTCTGTCTGTTTGGTTGCTTGTTTGCTTGCTTGTTTGCTTGTATGGCTATTTGTTTGATTGTATGTATGTGTGTGTGTGTGTTTGTTTGATTGTTTGGTGGATTGTTTGTGTGCTTGTGTGTTTGCTTCTTTGTATGCATCTGGGAATGTATGTATGCACGTACGTATGTGTATGATTTTTGCTTGTTTGGTTGTTTGATTGTTTGCTTGTTTGCTTGGTTGTTTGTTTGTTTGTTTGCTTCATTGATGGTTTGTTTGTTTGTTTGTTTGCTTGCTTGCTTGCTTGCTTGCTTGCTTGCTTGCTTGCTTGCTTGCTTGCTTGCTTGCTTGCCTGCTTGTTTGTTTGTTTGTTTGTTTGTTTGTTTGTTTGTTTGTTTGTTTGTGTTTGTTTGCTTGTTTGTTTGTTTGTTTGAATGTATGTATGTATGTATGTATGTACGTATGTGTGCATCTATGTATGTGTGTTACGTATGCATGCATGTATGTATGTATGCATGTATCTATGTATGTATGTTTGTTTGGTTGTTTGCTTATGTGTTTGTAGGTTTGATTGTTTGTACGTATGTTTGTTTGCTTGCTTGTTTGGTTGTTTGTTTGTGTGTGTTTGCATGTTTGTTTGTATGCATGCATGCATGCATGGATGTGAGTGTGTGTGTGTGTGTGTCATGCATGCATGTATGCATAATGTATTGTGTGTATGCATGCATGCATGGATGTGTGTGTCATGTATGTATGTATGTATGCATGCATGTCTGTCTGTCTGTATGTATGTATGCATGTATGGGTGTATGTATGTATGTATGTATGTATGTATGTATGTATGTATGTATGTATGTATGTATCTGGCTGAATGTATGCATGCATGCATGCATGCATGCATGCATTCATGCATGCATGCATGGATGTGTGTGTGTGGTGTGCATGTATGTGTGCATGTATTCATGCATGCATGCATGCCTGCATGCACAGATGTGTGTATTCTGTATGTATGTACGCATGTATGTATGTATGTATGTGCGTATGTACATATGCATGCATGCATCCATGTGTGTGTGTGCTATGTATGGATGTATGCATGCATGCATGAATGTGTGTGCGTGTTATGTATGCATGTATGCATGCATGCATGTATGTATGTGTGTATGTATGCATGCATGCATGCATGAATGTGTGTGTGTTGTGCATATATGTACGTATGCATGTATCAATGCATCATGCATGCATGGATGTGTGCGATGTATGAATGTATGTATGCATCACGCATGGAGATGTGTGTGCGTGGTGAGTATGTATGTGTGCGTATGTATGCATGCATGCATGCATGTATGCATGTATGCATGTATGCATGTATGCATGTATGTATACAGGCACGTGTGTATGTATGCACGTATGCATGTATGTCTCCATGTCTGTTGTGTAGGCATGCATGCATGGATGCATGCATGGATGTGTGTCTGTGGGATGTATGTATGTATGTATGTATGTATGTATGTATGTATGTATGTATGTATGTATGTATGTATGTATGTATGTATGTATGTATGTATGTATGTATGTATGTACGTGTGTGTGTGTGTGTGCGTGTGTATGTGTGTATGTGTCTATGTGTGTATGTGTGTCTGTGTGCATGTGTGTATGTATGTATGCATGTATGCATACATGCAAGCGCATGCTTGTCATGTATGAATGTATGCATGCATGTGTGTGTGTTGTGTATGTGTGTGTGTTGTAGCTTTGCATGCATGCATGCATGCATGCATTCATGTATGTATGTATATATGTATGTATCTATGTATCTATGCATGAATGTATGTTTGTATGTTGAAGGTTTCATGTGTGTATGCTTGTATGGTTGTATGGGATCCGCTTGAACTGTGAATGTGAAGTATGTGTTGTATGTGATGTACTGTATGTAATGTATCTAATGTATGCAATGTATCTAAATATATGTGATGTATGTAACTCATGTTTGTATGGATGTGTATGTGTAGCGTATGCACTGTATGCAAAGTATGCGACATATGCAATGTATGTACTGTATGCATGCATGCATACATACATGCATGCATACATGCATGTATATGAATGCATGTATGTATGTACGTAAGTACGTATGTATATATATATATATATATGTATGTATATATTATGTGTATATGTATGTACCATGCGTGTGTGTGTGTGTGAGAGAATTTCTTTCAAGCTTATCTGTTAGCATACCATATACATACATGCTTATATACTCCGCTATCTATTGCTTGAAGCTTCAAGAACCGGAAGGATCAGACTCTCAGAACCCCCAACCATCCCCCGCTGCCTGCCTGTGAGGAGCTGGGTAGAGTCCTTGGACCAAGTGATGCAGGTCACCCCCTGGTTGTGGGCCTTCTCGTAGCGCCGGGCGCACTGCCCGGTGACGATGCGCCAGACCTTGACCTGGAAGGATCGCTTGGGCGCGGGTTGGGGGGGGGGCGGCCGGAATGGAGGCAAGAAGCACTGGAGGAAAATGCACGGATGTGGGCGTGCGTTTGTTTGACGGTACCCTGTTTGGGATCAAGGGCAAACCATATGGGGTGGTTGCCATTTTTCCCGGAGTTTTGACACATACTGAGGCGGATGTTCCACTTCTGATTACTTTATCTCTCAGGGGAGTCCCTTCGTGTGACCCCCAGATTTTCCACGATTCAGGAGAAGGGCAATGCTCCCACATCAACCTAGTGGCCATGCCAAAAACAAAATGATGAACAAACCCCTGGTTCATGAACACGGGGCGTCCCATGTAAGAGGGGATCCTTCGCCAAGTTCATCAAACTGGAGACATTGGAAACAAGGGCACCATTTGCAAAGAGTGGTGCGGTCACGAATAGGTTTGTTTAGGTACAGGGCACGGGAAAAAAAACAAGGGTGTCGGGTGCAGCAACACAAAGTGCCAAATCGGGGCGACAATTCTACGGACTTTGCTGCCTTCAACCCTGCACCCAAACATCTTGCAACCTCAGCAGCACATGGCCCCTCAGGGTGGCCAGACAAACAGCAAAACCTCTCAGCTTACCGGCCCTGCCCTTCAGAAACCCGCTGAAGCCCCCTCCAACCTTCCGGGTCAATCAGCCGCCATGCGCAAAACGTGTGGTCGTAAACTGTTTCAGCTCGAAACACCGGCGGATTTGAAGGCAACGCCCGGCTTTCAGCTGCCGGTTTAGGCCCCACGCCCTCCGAAAAGTGCAAAGACCCAAACGTCGCCCTCCCCGGGCCCAAACTGAGGCCCTAGGTTCCATGTCCCTCTCCCCTTCATGGGGTTTTTTCTGGGGCGACTCCCTCCAGCCCCCCCCCCCCTAGAACCGCTGGGGCGAGTTCCGATTCTTCCGGCGCCTGGCCGTCCTGGGACCCGGTGGCCAGCAGCTCGGAGTCCTTATTGAAGGCCACCGCGATCACCGCCTTCTCGTGCATCATGAAGCTACCTGCGCCAAATTTTCCGTTTTTGGACCCCAAGGTAGACATTTGTCCCCGGGGTTCCGTTTCCCTTTTGGGGAAATCAACCACTGGGTTTAAGTCGACTTTGGGGTAGTCAACGAAACAGAACCCTGACCTGCGCTTCAGGTGGCCTTTGGCAATTCCCCAGCTCCAGTCCCGGCCTCCAGGGTAGACCCCCCCCCGCAGATTTTGCATGTTGTTTGCAAATTTTGCATTGTCTGCAATGATTCTTCAAGTTTTTGCAAGAATCGATGGCCCTGGTAAATGGAATGAAGCCCATCTAAACCAGTGGAACCCATCTACTTTTGATCAACCGAACCGAAACAGGACACCTATGTACCGCGCTTCGGGCGCCCCAGGCTCCACGCGTACGTCACGCGTCACACAAAGGCGAGACGGGCCGCAAAACGCGGAGAGGCTGTCGGTGTTTGTGTGCGTGTGTGTGTGTGTGTCTTAAGATCCGGGGCACAAGACAGGGTTGTTCCCCTTGGCTTCGCCTATGAAACCCAAAGTGGAGATTGAGTCAAAGCCACATCCGGCCAAACTCGAGGCAGCAAAGCAGCTTGAAAACGCCAAAGCTTATTTGGGCATTGTTGACCGGACTAATAACAGCGGGGATGTCCCACCTCCAAAACTGGTCTGAATCCCCACTAAAAGGGGGCGCCTATTCATCAACCAGGGTTTCTTCGTCCGAGGTGCACATTAGAGGCTCCAAGGCTCACAGCTGCTGAAACTGACGCGGCTGTGCTGTGTGAAGCTTGGCCTTCCAGTAAGAAACCAAGACATCGGAAAATGTGCAAATCCCACTGCCAAATCCAAGCCCACTTCAAAATGCAGATCGAGGATAGCGTGCCTTAAGCAAGGCAAAGAAAATCAACTCGAATCAACCCCTTCCCCCCCGCTCCAAATACCAAAGGACCCCCTTTTTTCAGCCTCAGGGAGACAGAGACAGGGCCCGCTTGGCCACTCACAGAAACTGCGTGAATCTGCCGGCGATTCGTTTTGGTTTCCCTTCAAAACACCCTATAAAAGGAGTCCCCTACAAAAAAAACACAAAACACACACACACACACACACTTCAACTCCCAAGGGAGGATGCTAATCGTTCGAGTACAACTGATGAGTCTCGAGTACAACTGATGAGTCTCTCATCGTTCGAGTACAACTGGTGAGTCTCTACAGCTGGGGTTCAGCTGGTTTTGGAGAAAAGGGCAAAAAGGGGACCTTTGTTTGGGGTGGGCCCGCCAGCTGCCATGACAATGGCCCAGGCGCAGCCCCGCAGGTACGTTTGGACCCGGACACCGGGGGGGCGTCTTCGTTGGCTGGCGAGCCCCCTGCATGTTGAAAAGTTGGCATCAGGGTAAATCTGATGCTCCGCACACACACGCCCCCACAGGGGCAAGCGACGGGGCGGCTCTGCCTGCCAGACAACTCCGCCGACCCCTTTCTCCAAAGGGGGGGCGCATGGGAAGGGCTTGTATTCGTCCTTGTCTTCGTGATGTTTATCAGCACCACTGATGTTGGGTGATGGGTTCGCAGCATCCAAATCATCAGCATTCTACGTTTCAAGCTTGCCGTTCAACCCGGCTTGGAATGCAGTGATGCATTTTAGTCATGATTGTTATGACAGCTGCTGCTCATGCAGGGGATGCATAGTGATGATTGTCATCAGGATATCATCACGGTAACTGCTGGTGATGCTGGAGATGCGTAGTGATGATCATCAGGATCATCATGATCATCATGAGCGACGCTGCATCTGATCATCATCATCACTCTTCTCATCATCATGATGGTCATCATCATCTCTTTCTTGTTCTTATATGCATTTCAAAAGTAACGTTAGATAGCATGAGGATGCTACGATGATAGTCCTCATCCTTATCATCATTATCATCATGGTCATCATCATCATCTCTTACTAGCCGTCCTCACCCTCATCATCATTATCATCACGGTCATCATCATCTCTTATTAGCCGGCACTGGTGATGCCGAGGATGCTACGATGATAGTTATCATCACAGTCCTGATCCTTATCATCATTATCATCACGGCCATCATCATCTCTCATTATCCGGCACTGGCGATGCCGAGGATGCTACGATGATAGTTATCATCACAGTCCTCATCCTTGTCATCATTATCATCACGGTCATCATCATCTCTTATTCTGCAGCACTGGTGATGCAAAGGATGCTACGATGATAGTTATCATCACACTATCATGCTGATGGTCGTCAAAGTAACGTTAGACAGCATTGGCAATGCAAAGGATGCTACGATGATAGTTTTCATCACAGGCCTCATCCTAATCATCATTGTCATCACGGTCATCATCATCTCTTATTAGGCAGCACTGGTGATGCAAAGGATGCTACGATGATAGTTATCATCACAGTCATCATCATGATCATCCTCACCATGATCATGATGACGGTCGTCATCATCATCATCATCATCACTCTTCTCATCATCATCATGATTGCCACCACCATCTCTTTCTTGTTCTTATATGCATTTCAAAAGTAACGTTAGACAGCATTGGCAATGCAGAGGATGCTCCTTATTATCATTATCATCACGGTCATCATCATCTCTCATTAGGGAGCACTGGTGATGCAAAGGATGCTACGATGATAGTTATCATCACAGTCATCATCAGGATCTTCCTCATCATCATCAGGATGATGGTCGTCATCATCATCATCATCACTCTTCTCATCACCATCCTGATGGTCATCATCATCTCTGTTCTTATATGCATTTCAAAAGTAACGTTAGACAGCATTGGCAATGCAGAGGAAGCTACGATGATAATTATCATCACAGTCATCATGGTCATCATCATCTCTCATTAGCCGGCACTGGTGATGCCGAGGATGCTACGATGATAGTTATCATCACAGTCATCACGGTCATCATCATCTCTCATTCGGAAGCACTGGTGATGTAAAGGATGCTGCGATGATAGTTGTCATCACAGTCATCATCAGGATCTTCCTCATCATCATCATGATGATGGTCGTCATCAGCATCATCATCACTCTTCTCATCATCATCCTGATGGTCATCATCATCTCTTTCTTGTTCTTATATGCATTTCAAAAGTAACGATAGACAGCATTGGCAATGCAGAGGATGCTACGATGATAATTATCATCACAGTCCTCATCCTTGTCATCATTATCATCACGGTCATCATCATCTCTCATTAGGGAGCACTGGTGATGCAAAGGATGCTGCGATGACAGTTATCATCACAGTCATCGTCAGGATCTTCCTCATCATCATCGTGATGAGGGTCGTCACCATCATCATCATCACTCTTCTCATCACCATCCTGATGGTCATCATCATCTCTTTCTTGTTCTTATATGCATTTCAAAAGTAACGTTAGACAGCATTGGCAATGCAGAGGATGCTACGATGATAATTATCACTGGTGCTGCAAAGGATGCTACGATGATAGTTCATCAGGATCTTCCTCATCATCATCATGATGATGGTCCATCATCATCATCATCACTCTTCTCATCACCTTCCTGATGGTCAGCATCATCTCTTTCTTGTACTTATATGCATTTCAAAAGTAACGTTACACAGCATTGGCAATGCAGAGGATGCTACGATGGTAATTATCATCACAGTCCTCATCCTTGTCATCATTATCATCATGGTCATCATCATCTCTCATTAGCCGGCACTGGTGATGCCGAGGATGCTACGATGATAGTTATCATCACAGTCCTCATCCTTATCATCATTGTCATCAAGGTCATCATCATCTCTTATTAGGCAGCACTGGTGATGCAAAGGATGCTACGATGATAGTTGTCATCACAGTCATCATCAGGATCTTCCTCATCATCATCATGATGATGGTCGTCATCATCATCATCACTCTTCTCATCCTGATGGTCATCATCATCTCTTTCTTACTTTCTTATATGCATTTCAAAAGTAACGTTAAACAGCATTGGCAATGCAGAGGATGCTACGATGAAGATTATCATCACAGTCCTCACCCTTATCCTCACTATCATCATGGTCATCATCATCTCTTATTAGCCGGCACTGGTGATGCCGAGGATGCTACGATGATAGTTATCATCACGGTCATCAAACCGGTTGAGCCAACGAGCTACATAAACAGGTCCGATCATTTACGCAGGACAACCATGTTTGTAGCATCCAAAAGGAACGTGTTGCTTGTGCTCTGTTAGCGGCTGTGTTTGTTTGAGGGTGCCCTTCTTTTGGGTTGCCTTAAAGGCAAGCCAAAAAGAAGCCAGCCCTCTTTGGAGTACTTAACTGTATGGGGTCGGCGGCACTGGGCGGCAGCCCTTAAATTTGAAACGGACCTATGCCAGGGGTGGCTCAGCCGGCCAGACGACCTTGAAACGGACCTATTCGAGGGGGTGGCTCTGCCTGCCAGACGACATCGAAACGGACCTATACCAGGGGTGGCTCTGCCTGCCAGACGACCTTGAAACGGACCTACGCAAGGGGTGGCTCAGCCTGCCAGACAACCTTGAAACGGACCTATTTGGCTCTGCCTGCCAGACGACTTCCAAACGGACCTATGCCAGGGGTGGCTCTGCCTGCCAGACGACCTTGAAACGGACCTACGCAAGGGGCGGCTCAGCCTGCCAGACGACCTTGACAAGACGATCCGCAACATCATGGAACAAGCATTGCGCAAACAGAACATGCACGCACAACCCGAGCATTGCACAACCAGAACATCAAGTTCAACGGCATTGATGCAATCAGCAAGCAGCTCCCAGGCACTTGTGAAACGTAGCTATGATCTGGTGGCTGTCTTCCCTTTAGTGAAACCTCGTTCCTGCTTAAACGTGAAATTCCGCTGGACTATGATAAGAACGTTGAGGTCAAACTTTCCGGCGAACCGGCCCGGGGTCACACGATGGGTACACCCGCGGTTCCCCCAAGATGGGGTGATCACACTTCAACTCCCAAGGGAGGATGCTAATCGTTCGAGTACAACTGATGAGTCTCGAGTACAACTGATGAGTCTCTCATCATTCGAGTACAACTGGTGAGTCTCGAGTACAGCTGGGGTTCAGCTGGTTTTGGAGAAAAGGGCAAAAAGGGGACCTTTGTTTGGGGTGGGCCCGCCGTGACAATGGCCCGGGCGCAGCCCCAAAGGTACGTTTGGACCCGGACACCGGGGGGCGTCTTCGTTGGCTGGAGACCCCCCGGGCCGGCTCCAGCCCCCTGCATGTTGAAAAGTTGGCATCAGGGTAAATCTGATGCTCCGCACACACACACGCACACGCACACGATTTGACCGTCCCACTCCCATCTCCGCCTTCGTCCTGGTACGTGAGATCCTTGCGCAGGGTGCCGGTCTGATAATCCCAGACCTCCACGAAGCCGTCCACGGAGCCGCTCACGCAGAACTGGCCGTCCGGGGAGAAGGCTACGCACTCGGGGTGCGACTTCTCCCCGAACTTCACCTCGGAGACGTCCAAAGGGATTGGCTGCCATTGCGGCTTTTTGCTGGCGACCCATACCAAGTCTTTGGCCAAACTGCAAGAAGCAGAGCATCACCACTGCTTGCAGTTTTGGCTCTCACAGGACCTGACCCTCTGTCAGGTGCTATGTTGGCATGACGACCAACATCAGTGCAGAGAAAAAACACTGCATCCAGTCATCCGGCTAGTAAGAAACCATGAGTCTCCCCAGTCTTTCCTTTCTTAATCTATCATCGTGAGCCCCCGAATCTGAAATCGGCCACACCAACCTTGTCCACCGATTTACTGTCGAGGCTCAAGGAGGACATATAGTCTTCCAGGACCCCCCCCCTTCCCCCAGTCATGTTCTGGCTTCCGCTTTGGTGGATGGAAATGTGGCAAACTGCAAGGAGAAATCGCTGCATCCGGTTATTGAGTCCGGCCAATTCTCGGCCAGATATGCCAGATCTTCTCACCTCAAGCGGTTTCGCTGGTTGGTAGCTTTGTCCCTTTAAATCAACCCCGCTCGAATCCCCGGAGAACTGGGCAAGCCTCAAGCTGAGTGGTTTCCCTTTGCTGGTCGCTTCCCTTTACTCCCCAAAACAGGTGTGTATATATATATATATATATCTGTCTCTCTCTCTCTCTCTCTCGCTCTCTCCCTCTCTCTCTCTCTCCCTCTGTCCCCCAAGCCCCCCCCCCCCAGAAAAGAAAGAACAACACGCCTGGCAGCATGAGGCAAACAACTTGTCCTCGCAAAACGTCAACCCCGAAACAAGGGCATCCTGTGCTTCCAAAGACACCCCCCCCTTACCCCCCAAACCAAAAAAAGGGAGGAACCGGCAAACCGGTTGCAGTGGCTACACCCCCCCCGGAAAAAGGGAGGGATTGTTCTTGGCGCACCCACTGCAGCTTCAGGCGCCGTCCTGGCCACCATGGTGGGGCACATCTCCGGCTCCACCTCCGAGTCTTTGGCCACGCCACGGAACACGTCGATCCGGGCCTCGAGCCGATCGAGCCGATCCAGGCCAGGGGTCAAGAATGGACCTCTTCTGAACATGCCATGAGGAAGGAAAGCATGATTCAAGTTGCCATAGCCTTTGTTGGGAAGGTGACATGTTTGGCCAACCTTACACCATTTAGGCTCAGTTCAATTCATGCACAGGGCCGAGGCGAACATGATCCGAGCCCGGATCAATAAACCCCTTCTTACTTATAGTTTCCCTTCAAAAGTGATGAACCCCCACTAACACCAGGCACATACCCATGTTCATAAGTACGGGTCAACCTGAACTTGCGCATCTGAGGCCGCCCGCGTTCTTGGGGAGGAGGCCGACATGCTGCTGCCATTTCATGGCCTGCCCCACCAGCGCCAGGAGTCGGGAAGGTGGGGCCACCTGCGTGCGCAAGTGGCCCTTCTTTACGGGCCTCCTGACAACAGGCCCATTGCCAGGGAACCCTTAGTTTGTCATTCAACATGGGATACAACTGAACAACACAAGGGAGTATCAGGTTTGGGTTTGGGTTGGGACCATAAGGAGGGTTCCAACAAGCCTCACAGTGCCTTAGTTACCAGGGAGTGTGTGTGCGTGTGCATTTGTATGGAAAAGGAAAATGCCTTGTTTGGAGCAAGGGCCGAGGCTGGCAATGGTCAAAACCCCAGCTGAAAGGTATCCGATCGATGGGGGCGGAACCCGGTTCCGAAGCATCTCATATCCCAAGATTGGCTGGCTCATGATGCACCTCCAAACCAGCCTTGGCCTTGGCAGTCCTTGCGAATGCCCTGCTGCCCAGACACCACAGGAGCCAGAAGGCCCCATTGAAACCGCGATGTCGGGGTCTAAACAGGTGCATTGAGGGACCTTTGTCGGCCATGCCGACGGAACCCAGCGACGGCACGAGCGCCGGGCCTGCACGTGCTTGCCTTGGATGTGCAAGGGAAGAGGAGGGGAGGGAAGCGCCCAAATAAAATAGAAAAAGACACACACACACACACAGCATGCTGAAGAATATGGCGGGTGCCGTTTATGCTCTACAGGGTGGGGTGGCAAGTTAGGGACCCCTGCGCTGGTCTGGTTTCCTTTTGGCATCCTATCAAAACTATTCATTGAAAGGATTCCCCGTTCGACGCCCCTTCTCTTCCGCCGATCCGCTCACGCTCTGCGCCAGGTTAGTCCGGATCTTCTCCTTGGTGAGGCCCTCGTAGGCCTCCTGAATAATAATGATTCAAATCGCTGCGCGGTTCCCAATTTGATACATACCAGCTACGTCCCTGCCTAGCAGTCGTGGTCAGTTCCAGAGTTTCCACCGAGCCATGACCCGACTGCCAAGACCTGGTTGGCATAGCAACTCTGAGGAGCGCAAAGCAAAGTTCCATGAAGCTCGCCGTTTGGAGGCACGCCTTCCAAAATCAAAATCCGTGACCCCCCAAAAAGTGGTGTCCTTGTGGCTTCCTTTGCAAACTCCGGGGGTGCCGTTTTTCGGGACCCCCCCTCCAGCCAACCATTTGCGGGAGCCTTGAAAGGGAATCGTAAGGAAGAACCGGCCTTTCAGGCCGAGTAGTTCTTGTAAGGGCTTTTTCAGTTATTGCACATAGGTGCTGCTGTTTTTTCTTTTTTCGGTTTTCCTGCAAGGTTCATTTGGGAAAGTTGCAAAGGTGGGCCAGGATGGCAGGCTTCACTTTTAGTTTCCCTGTAAACCCACCCAAAATTCCGCTAATAACACTGCAGGCCAGGAAAAGACGACCGTACCATAAGGATGTGTCTCGAAATAGGAGTCCCCTTTCTGCATGCTTTTCGACACCAAAAATGACTCCGACCACCCGAATGGGTCAAACGATTTTTGTAGATCTTCCACTGGATTCAAGAGCCATTTCCAAGATGTACCCCCCCAAACGCCTCAGGCCAAGGTTGGCTCTTCCGTCTTAGGGAGGCTTGCCGGAAATTCCCCCCCCCCCCTTTGGTTACCAGAAGAGAGGTTCTCCCCATGCTCAGGTTTTGCGGCAGGCCAGGCGAAGGTTGGGATTTGGGGCCACAAACCTCCCAACCGCCCAGGGCTCCTGAGCATCGAACTGCTTCCTTTTGATCAGCGCCTGAACCCAGGAAGTTCTTCGAGTTTTTGGCCATGTGGCTTTGGAACACGTCCCCTTTGCCGGGAAAAAAGGTGGCTGCAACACCGGAGGTTCCTCAAAAAAAGAGAAAAGATGGCTGAACGTGAGCCTCTTGTTAAGGCTTCACCGGATTGCCCAACCTTTGCCAATGGATCGCGTAGACTGCCCTTGGGAAGGCTGGGCCTAAGGTTGCCACAAAAGCTATCCGCAAAGGACCGATTCCCTGGAGTCAAACACTTCTGCCCCGAAGAAACAAAGAAGAAGAAAGTTGCCAAAACCTCACCCCCCCCCCAAAAAAAAAAAAAAAAAAAACGTTTTGGAACCCGAAAAGGAGACCCCATGTGAACATCTGCGGATCGAATATGTTTCACCACCGGGGCCCAGGGCGGAGAGGTGCGATTGATCGCGGCCAATGACAGGCCGCATGAACAACACGCAGGGCGACCAGCTACGTGCACGGCCTTAGGAAGACCTTATGGGGACTTGCCGGTTGAACATAGGCGTGAAGCAGAGTTCCTTGAATTGTCCCTTTCTGGATCCAGAAGGAAAGGACATGCAAATCAGAACCCACACGGGTGTGGCTCAAAATTAGACAGGCGGCGATACGCAGGTTTTGGTCCATGTTTCCACTTACCAGGGTTCCATTTTGGTACAGTAAGTGGAATTTTGAGCCACAGCCACACCTTCCAGATGGCCTTTGCGACTCAGAACAGTTGCCCGTGGCAACCGCCGCGGACTTTTTCGGCGTCCCTCTACTTGGTGGTTTGGCGGGTGGGTTGGAGGTGCAGGGAACAAACCCAAGCCCAAACCAAACCACCAATCGAGGATAACACTTGAGAGAGAGCGTGCCGAAATCTGGCACCGTTCGCCAGTGCAAAACCTGCCTAGTCACCAGCCTGTTTTAGACAAGTCCTCCGCATAGGTATCGCCCTCCCCCCCCCCCCGCCGGAGCGTTTAACGTGAACGCACTTCAAGTCTCAACAAACGGCAAAGCATGTCGGCATGCGTCCGGCCTGAGGCCCCCTTTTGAGCCCAATCTTGTCCCCCAAAAAAAAGTAAGCGAGAGCTTTCGGAAAGAGATTTCATCCCCATGCCACATGTGGCCCTCCCCCGTGCCCGTCCGGCCTCGATGCGGAGGTACCTCCGCACAAAACCCCGCTTTGAAGCCCGAGAGGCGAGGCCCCTTTTCTGCCCCGAATGGACCCTAGAAAAGGTGCAGGCGCTATTGGGGACAAGTCAACTTGGAGACCCTGAGAAGGCACCCCTGGCCTTTTCCCCCGCCGGAGCCCCCTTCGGCGCCTTTCAGGGTTCGCCTGCTTCAGGGAGCTCATGGGCGCCGTCTCCTCACATCCGGCACATCCGACATCCGCAGAAGCGGCAAAATCCAAGCGGAGCGGAATTGCGCGAAAGCGGCAAGGTCCGGCAGGGGTCCGGCAGGGGTCCTAAATGAGCGGGTGCCTCAAATCAAGACCCCTGAGTTGAGATTATTGGTTGTTTCTACTGGTGAAACGCCAAGTCCACTCGACAGCTGGCACCGTTCTAACCCATGCGCTTCAGACAGGGTGGGCCCAACCAATGTGCCAAATGAGGCCTTTCTCCATCAAAACAGGTGCCCAAAGGATCCGAACATGAACGGACATTTCGGGACCAGGTGCCCTTATAGAAAAAATGATGGCAACTGGCAAAGCCCGAAATGAAACTCAACCAACGGGCCAACAAAGGCAACATTCAAAACAAACAAACAAGAAAAAGGGAAGGAGGGGGATTGTGTCCTCGAAGGACAACTTCGAATGCCGTGCCATCTGGACAAGGAGCTGTTTCCGCTATTTCCCTTGTTGCCACATATTCTCGTGCAAGGTGCATCTGTTTTTCAAGGAACCTTTGCCGAAGGTTGCTTCAAAGGGAAACTGAATAGAAACACAAGCACCATTGGGGGAACCAATCACTTTGTCTGGGAACCCCCCCCACCCCCGGCCCTAATAGTCGGGGGGGGGGGACAATTAATTTATCTGCCGGGTTAATTGATCCGGGTTTTACCGTTGTTCTTTGTTGAGAGGAAGAAAAAAAACTTCCGCCGGGTCAACATTAAAGCTCTCTTCATGAATCGAGATCGCTCTGACAAGCCTAAAAACGCCCCAGGTGAACCAAAATACGAAACCAAAATACAAAACCAACACGATCAACGCAAAACCGGCACTCAGCCAGTCCTATTTAACAACCCCTTACAAAAACGTATGGAGGATTCAACCGATGTAGAGGTTCCAAAGCCCTTCTGATCCCCAAACAAGGGCTCAATCAATCCATGCGGGTGTTGGCTTTTGGGTGTCTGTGTGTGTGTGTGTGCGTCTGTGCGTCAAACTAGTAGGAGTCCAAAATGTTAAACCCCCAAAATGTGGGTTTTGTCCTCTTGGTTTCCCTGAAAAGAAAAACTATAGCTAGAAATTCAAAAAGTGTAATTACCGGGCTTTAAAAAACATACACCCAAACGTCCCCTTCAAAAAGAAGAGGTTCAACCCATGTAGACCCTCCGACCCCCAAAACATAACTCCCTATTTTGTGGGGCAACCCATGCAAAGGGGTCAACCCATTTTGGGCGCAACTTTTGCCTTTTGGAATGGGGCTAAAGGGAAACCAACAAGGAAAAACAACATTGGTGGGCGCCCCTCAGAAAACACAGCAAACCGTTTCAGGTTGTGTGAAAAGTCCCGTTGGCCTTCTTTTAATCACAACAAAGAATACAAAAAAAAGAAGTCCAAAAACACAAACCATCTGAGAGAAACGAAACACGCCCATTTGGCGGAAAAATCTGTGAATGTATCCCGACAGGGGCGTTCAATGGGGCGCAGGAGAGAAGAAAATCCGGCGACAAAAAAAAAAGCGGCGCCGTCTCCGCTCCTTCAGCAGGTGCTGCGCCGTCTCCAGCTCCTTGAGCTCCGCGAGCTCCAGCACCACCTGCGGCGCTGCTCTCCGGACGCGGAGAGAAGCGCGTGCCCCGGAAAAAAATGAGACCGGTTGTGCCTGGTCAGTGGAAAACAAAGGGAGCACCAAGAAGGCGAAAAAATTAGAAAGGGGGACTACTTCTGGGGAAGTTTTTCGGGGGACTTTGGCCACAAAAAGGCACCTGTTGAACTAAATCCAGAGCTCAAGGAGTGCTCCGGAACCTGTGGAAACCTTTCGTCCCTCACTCCCCGGCTAGCCCCATGTCGCCTGGCTGTAGAGGTCCTGCAACACATTGGCAGGGAGGCTCAAGTAGGACACGGCTTGCCTCAGTGTCCACTGCCCAAAACATACTGGATGGACGGAATCCATTTTGCACCACGTGAAGCCACGGTTGAAGCCAGTGCTTGCTCTTGTTTGCGTCCAGGGTTTCTTAGGTGGTGCAGGATTTCGTCCACCCTAGGAAATCAGCCCGGAAGTCGGAAACGGACGGCCAAAAAGTGTCCGGGATTGCACTGGCTATTGGATGATGGGAACCTAGCTGCAATCTTGCGGAAACTGTGCCTTCTACCAACTAACTCTGGGTGTGCTCCATCATGCTACCCAAAGCCCTGATTTGGCTTCCCTCCAAAAGGGTACTCGTTCTCAAATCCTTGCCGGGCAGCAGCACCGAGTCCCACTGGCCTGCGCTTTTTCGCGTGGCGTTTACCCGGGCCTCGTAGAAGCCGTAGGTTGACATGGGGGGGGGGGGGGGATGTGGGTTCCTTCCCTCCATAGACTTGACATTTCGGAGCCCACGCCCCACGCGTCAAAGCTCATGTGGATCGTGCCCATGGCTCCCTGGAAAAGATTCTCATGCCAACCTCAAGGGTGCCTTGAACCGCATGGCCCCGAACTGCCACGAAACGAGGTCAACTTCTGCCCTTGTGACGAGACGCCATTCATCTCGCAGAGTACAAGGCCCAAGATCCAAATCGCTTCGGTTTCAGGTTCGGCCCAACCCCCAAGCCAACCAAAGGGGGGGGGTTATTCCAGCCACAGGGAGGGGAGGGGGAGGGCTTTTCCATTGATCTCACCCAGGGCCATTTGGGCCATTTGGCTCATTCCTGCTCGGGCGAACACCGAAAACCCGGGGCACTTCTCGGTGGATGAGTGCCGCCTCCCCGGGCCTGTGGCCCGAAGCAAGCGCCCGCCCGAAGCGCCCCGCCTTTGTTGATGTCGCTCAGCAAAGCATCCAGGGAATCCACCGCGTTCAGAGCAACGCGGGATTCTTCTTGCAGGCATTGCAGGGTCCTGTTGCCAGTGAGCTTCATCTGGCTCTTTGCAAAAGGCAAGACGACTTGGAACCCAGATCGACCCGCTGCTCCTGAAGAGACTGTTCTCCTTGCAAAACCTCGGCTCAAAACGGTGCCACAACTACCTGCCCTGCGCTGAAGTGAAGCCAAGAGTCTGCAGGATCAACCTGAACCCACACCACCCCGCCCCCTCCGCCACCGATTCCCAATGGCACGATGAGTCACCTCGATTGCCTATTCCTGCTTCAGTGTCACAAGGATGGCCCACGAAAACGCGCGGGTGCGCGATGGGCCAGTTGGAAGCCCAATTGACAAACCCATCCTGGTAATAGGGTGTGTTGTGGCCCTAATTCCAACTGTCATGCACTCTAAACCCCTATGGACGTATTCTTGACCCAGGCTTCGGAAACTCGGTCGAGTTTGCAGATCCCCCCCACTCTCATTGGGAAAGACCGATCCCTGTTCATCTGCCAGGCTTAATTATTCTCCTCAGACCGCACCCCTCCTCACGACATCAGCGCTGTCCACCGTGGCAGAACTTCCGCCGCTCGCCATGGCGTCGACGAAACAACTCTGACTTTTTGGAGGGTAACATGCTTGGGTTGTATTTGGATTCCCTATTTTCAGACACACCCATGTGGTTTCAGTGAAAACCATCCAAGAGGGTGTCCCATACGTGACACACACCCACAAAGCCGTACCTACATCAGAAAAAAAGGCGTAGGGGTGGGTTGCTCAGCTTCAACATCAACCAGTAGACGACGTGATTCTCACCATGTGCTGCGTTTGGGTTCCCCTTTTCCAAAACCATGGAGAAACAAAAACCAAGGCCGGCAACTTAAAGCCAGGCCAGCAGCTTGAAGCCAGGCCAGCAGCTTCAGAAAGGCCCCCAGCTTCAGAAATTCAGAAAGGCCACCTTCAGAAAGGCCACCAGCTGCTTCTCCAGCTTGACAAAACTTGCTGGCGAGGGGAATGCCCCAGGTCCGGGTTCCTTGTTCTCCGAACACCGCTTGGGATTCTCGAAAGGAAGAACCAAATCGGTTGTCCGGGTTCTTTGTTCAGTGGACCGCTTGGGATTCCCGAAGTTTTCGGAACCAGGCGATGCTCCTTGCTGTTCTTCGGGCTCCAAAGGCCTGGGGCACCCGGCGCCGCCTCCGGCACCCGTTGCAGCGTGCCAAGCGTCCCGAGCGTCCTGATCGCGCCCGCACGGCGAGGCAAACTGAAAAATGGGGGGGAAGGGGGCGCTCCGAAAGTATTACAAACAAAAAGAAAACGAGATGATGGTACAGTTCTAGCTTGATTGTGTCCACTATATCTCGCAACATCACATGTACGTGTGTTATCTCTGATAATATATATATATATATATATATATGTGTGTGTGTCTCTGTAATTAAATCCATTTTTGGTTGAACCACCTGTATATATATATATATATGCGTATATCTATACATGTATACATATACATATATGTGTGGGTGTGTGTCGGATGTCTTTGTTGCTGGACAACTGCTATATACAAGTTGCACTAAATGACATTTTAATTCAGATGTATGTGTTTGATTTGTGATTATTGAGTTTGTGTGTTTAAGGTCAAAACCTTAATAATTCTTTAAAATATATTTTAAAAAAAAAATGCGATTTCAGGTAACTCCTCAGCAAATAGGTGGCTTTTGAGGGTTGCCTTGCGCACTTTCGCGAAGGAAAGCTGGTGGACCACGAATGTTGCTGGGAGGCTTGGGCTGTTTCTACCATATGTGCTTGCTTTGATACATTCAAGACTTCCCTATAATCCCCCGGAGTCTGAGAATTGGTTCAAGGAATCACTTTTGGAGGGGCCCCCACCCCACGTTTACGAGGACAGGCCTATTCATCCGGGGTCGACAGTACCAGACCGGTGGATTTTCTGCAAGGCATCCATGGCCTTTGAAAAGACCGCTGGGGCTCTAAAAAAACATCCGGCACTCAGCCCGGGGCCGCTTGGGTCGGAGGACAACGCTCTGCCTGGTCAATCTGTGAGGCACCCAAAATGGAAACAACTAAAACCTGCGGTTGTTTGGCTGAATTTTGACAATGAGCATGGAGGACAGCTCCCATGGAATTCATGCTCCAAAGCAGAGTCCCTCAGCTACGATCAAACAACCCTCATAATGTGGATGGACAAAATCCTGCACCACTTTGAAACCATCGCAAACCATTGTCCGTCGGTACTTACAGGGGAATAATCATTCTAGGGTTTTTCAAGGTCGTGCAGGATTCCGTCCATCCACAGTAGCTGCTTTCGTCAGAAGAACAAAAACAACTTACCAAGCTCACCAATCACTGCCGACGTATCATGTTGTTTTTTCACTGCGCTTTATCTCGTACATCGCCGCCGATTTTTTTCGGCTGATCGCCTTTGGCAACTCAGCAGGGCTCTGAGGTCACAATGCCAACATTTCGTTCTGTCAACACCTTCCCCATATCGGACAAGTGCGAGCTGCTACCTAGCATTGACCCATGCCTTGGTATCTGTGGTCTTTGAGCTGGTCCTTACCAGTTTTTTCCATAGTTCTTATCGCCCTTGTATGCCAAAAGAAGACGCATCGTCACCTCGCAAAGACCTGGCGCTCTTCGACCTCCAGGCAGCAACCCTACCGATGGCTTGACTCAAGGAGCCAGGCTCTTGCGCCGCAGCAGCGAGCGCAAGAGCGGGGAGGACGGGTTCGCCGGGTAGTCCGCGTCCGCCGCGTGGCCCGGAGCCAGCGAGTCGGCCCGCACGGTGTGGGTGTGGCTCTGCCTCGGACGGCTCAAAGCGCAGAGGCCAGCCCTGGGGGTTGAAAGCGGCAGAAGCGCAGTGGTCATGGGGGCAAAGGGCACCATTCCCTTGGTAGTTGGGTTCAACGGAAGCCCGGCCAAAACAAAATCAAGAAAACCAGCAAATCTGGGATGGGATTCCTCTTCGACAGTTCAATAGTCTGGTGGATGCCAATACGGCTGGCACTTTTAGAGGTCGAACAAGTTCAATTCCAGAGATCCCTGTCGGAACTTGGCAAACGGGTTGACAGAATTCACTGATCCCCTCGTGCAAGAAGTCGTTTTCTGAAGCAGCCCCGGATTGTGAGCCAGACAAGGATTAGGAGAAGTGCTCTCACGTGTTAGGGGGAGCTGCCTCGACCAGAAAGGATTGGCACGCCATGTTGCTTCAGCCCGTCCGATGCCAGCTCCCGGCTAATCAAGTACTGGTGCCCTTCCGCCTGCCTTTCAGAAGCGTTGAGCCTTTCTCAAGCCCGTCATCCTCGAGCCTCCAGAGAATGCGGGTGTGAAAGGGGGGCTGTGCAAAACGGGCACCAAGGACGACCACTCTTTCTGTGATGTGATCCCCCCCTCCCCCCAGTGTTTTAGGACAACCCCCCACACCCCACCCAAGCGCCAAGGGCACACGGAAGCGAGGGACACCTTCCGCTTCCCAGCAAGAAGGATCCTGGGCGGCAGGTCAAGGAGCAGCGGACGGGGTGCCCTAGTCAACAGGGTCTTGGCAGGAAACGGGGCGGCCAACGTCGCAGTTGCCTTTGATGACGTGCCCTCAGTTTTCTCATCTCTCACTATGCCCACCTGCAGTTTTGCGGGGGCCCTATGCCGTGCGCCAGTAGCTTGAACGAATGTTTTTATCCATCCTTCGGTTTCGCACTGGCCGCCAATTTTTTTTGCCAGGGGGGGCATGCGCAACCCCCCCAAAAAAATGGAAACAATCACTCGCGACACGTTCCAACGGCACCCACCACCTTTCGGTAACCAGCCAACCAAACCCCCCAAAAAAAGTAAAATGGCTGGTGGCCCGAGGATGGCCCATGGATGTGTTTTTTCCCCTCCTTTCTGCCAACGCAAGGCGACCCCACAAAAACGGGAGAAAAAAAAAAGAGGAGAAAAAAAAAAGAAAGAAAGAAAAAAACGCATTGTTTTTGCCAGGGGGGGCATGTGCAACCCCCCCAAAAAAATGGAAACAATCACTCGCGACACGTTCCAACGGCACCCACCACGTTTCGGTAACCAGCCAACCAAACCCCCCAAAAAAGTAAAATGGCTGGTGGCCCGAGGATGGCCCATGGATGTGTTTTTTCCCCTCCTTTCTGCCAACGCAAGGCGACCCCACAAAAACGGGAGAAAAAAAAAAGAGGAGAAAAAAAAAAGAAAGAAAGAAAAAAACGCATTGTTTTTGCCAGGGGGGGCATGTGCAACCCCCCCAAAAAAATGGAAACAATCACTCGCGACACGTTCCAACGGCACCCACCACCTTTCGGTAACCAGCCAACCAAACCCCCCAAAAAAGTAAAATGGCTGGTGGCCCGAGGATGGCCCATGGATGTGTTTTTTCCCCTCCTTTCTGCCAACGCAAGGCGACCCCACAAAAACGGGAGAAAAAAAAATAAGAAGAAAAAAACGCCATTTTTTTGCCAGGGGGGGGGGCATGTGCAACCCCCCCAAAAAAATGGAAACAATCACTCGCGACACGTTCCAACGGCACCCACCACGTTTCGGTAACCAGCCAACCAAACCCCCCAAAAAAGTAAAATGGCTGGTGGCCCGAGGATGGCCCATGGATGTGTTTTTTCCCCTCCTTTCTGCCAACGCAAGGCGACCCCACAAAAACGGGGAAGAAGAAAAGAAGAAAAAAAACGCCATTTTTTTGCCAGGGGGGGGGGGGCATGTGCAACCCCCCCAAAAATGGAAACAATCACTCGCGACACGTTCCAACGGCACCCACCACCTTTCGGTAACCAGCCAACCAAACCCCCCAAAAAAAGTAAAATGGCTGGTGGCCCGAGGATGGCCCATGGATGTGTTTTTTTCCCCTCCTTTCTGCCAACGCAAGGCGACCCCACAAAAACGGGAAGAAAAAAATCCGGGCCGCGCGGAGCTCAGCGCGCTGGGCTCGGCGTAGGCCTCGGCGGCCTCCGCGCTGGGGGCGCGCAGCAGCCGGCGCAGCGCGCTGAGCTGCGCGGGGGCCGCCTGGCCCCGCTCCTCCAGGACCTGCCACCTGGCTTCCCTCCAGGACTCCAAATGCCTGTGGTTGTCAATAGGTGAATTCACCACCCCTTTAACCCATAAGATCCAATTTTGGGATAGGTGGGGTTGGGTGGGGTGGGTGGGGTGACCCATTTTAGGACCTCTTTTAGTGGTTGGATTGCATCAGCTGTTCACTGGCGATACGGGGTTTTGACCCATGGCCACATGGTTTGGAGCCGAATCGGAGCCGATCGGAGTTCTGGAAGGGACATGGTAGGAAACACAAAGGGGTCGTCTCCAGAATCCGCTTCCCCCGAAACGGTGGTTTGAAGCCAAATCGGTGGTTTGGTGGTGAAATGGAGGGAAGAACCAGGGTACAAATCGCCAAACCACAACCGGGCGGTGAGCGGAGCCCGCAGGGTTGTCAAAATGCGCTCTGTCGTGCAGAGAGTGCTTTGAAAACAAGTTCCTGAAAAGAAAACTGGACAATGGCATCGAGACAAGCAAGGCTGACATGTGTGCCGCCAAACCCCATCTGGGCACCAGATTGTAATTACTCACTTCCCTGTGAAGAAGCCCGCAAGGCGACGCAAGGCAAGTGTGGAGTCAAAGGGGAGTTCCTCAAAATAGTGGACCCCCGTTGGTTGGTAGTTGATGGGGGGCACAAAACCAAACCAACCATTTTGAGGATTCCGAGAACTCACAACTTATGCAATTGACCTTCCGCTCAGGGTGTGCGAGTTAGATAACCATTGTCATAGTACTAAGCTCAATTGACTCGACCCACATCCATCCATGCGCCCCTACAGGGACATATCCTCAATCATCACCCCACCAGCAGACTCCCCCCCCCCCCCTCCCCCTGCCAGCTAACCGGAGAGAAAGAACCAAACCCCCCCTCCCCCCCTCTTCCCGTGTTATGGCAAACCCGCACCCCTTCCACCCCTTCCGCCTCACGTGCGCGCAACGGCGGCTCCCGACGCCGCCCCTGCCAGCCAAAGGGAAGCCGCGGCTCAGGCGCCCGAGGTAGCGGAAGAAGCGACCCGCCACGCCGCGGCGCAGCGCCGGGTGCATGGCCATGGGGTCCGCGGAGTGCGCCTCCGCAACGTCCCCCGGCCTGGCGAGGCACGAAGTGGGGGACCACCGGGCCAAAGGTTGGAGGTCAAAATGGCGGTGGTCAAAACCGTTTTGGGAGCCCATTTTGGTTGGTAGGTGAATTCACCGCCCATTGTAGAACCTATTTTAGTGGTTGGATTGGGATGTTCACTGGGGGTAGGGATGTCGGTTCAGCCAGTGGTGCTTTTCCAAGCATGACGGAAAAATCAATACGTTTTAAAGCAACGGATTAAGAATACTGTAAATCAAAAGTCGGAGAAATGGAAAGAAGGCCACATGCCCGCCCATCTGCGCACTGAAAAAAAAGCCAAGAACATGTCCATGCTGCAGTGGATGCCAACTCAATATCGCAAGTAAACCAACCATGCTCAACCACAAAAAGAAACAAAATCAAGGTATGGCAGGGGCGCCCACCGAAACAATGAAGCTCCCCGCTCTTTGCACAATGTTCGCGGTCACGCTGTGACCCGCTCTTTGGCTCTTGGAAAACGAGGCGAGTTCCCCAACCTTTGGCAGAAGCCCACCTCTCATCACTTGCATCCATCCGCGTGAAAACCAGTCCGCGTGCTCACCTTTCCGTCCTTCCAGAGCCCTGAGAACATGGCTCGGCCCCTTGTTCCCCTTTTGGGGGACCCGTTTTTTTTTTTTCCGCCTTTCCCCGCGCGGCCAAAGACTCTACTTCCAATTGGCTAAGGCCCCAGGGGAAAGAAGAACAAAAATGTTCAGTAGTGATGAATTCCTGTTCAACCAACAAAAAAAGAAAAAAGAAAAACACTCAAGCAAATGGAGGCTCAAGAGCCAAAAGAAAAACGCCTGGGCAGGGCCCCCAAGCGCAGCCAGGCGTTCTCCTCGCCCTCCTCCAGTTGCAAGGCCACGGCCACGGCCTCCTCCGCCTGAACGGCCATGGGACTTGGCACAGGCGAACATGGGTATGGGTCAAAATTAAAACACCAGGATATGGACCACAGGTTTTAGTCCATGTTTCCACTTACCAGGTTCAATTTTGGGTACCCATTTTTTGACCCACAGCCACATGAGCTCAGTTGGGCATGGGTTCATCCGATTCAATCCAACCACAAAAAATAGGTTCCAAAATGGGTGGTGAATTCACCTACCCCAAAATGGGATCCCATTGGTTTCGACCCACAGCCAGTTTAGTCTGGCAATGCACATCTACCCTGCCAGGACATGTTGCCCGCCTGACCGGGCAAATGCACCAGCTGGATCTCCGCAGCTGGGCGAGCTCCGGTGCCGGCCACGACGTGCTCACCTGAGCCGCCGGCAAGATGGGTACCCTCCCCACCAGTTGACACACGTGACAGGGGGCTCCCTGTAAAGGAAATGGCCAATGGATCCCCGAACGTCAGGTGCCTTTTCAAGTGGGGGGAGGGCATCTTTTGGAGGGTACCTTGTCGGGGAGGGGGGGTGGTTTCAAGGGAAACGAAAGGGAAATCACCCATCTCGGGACCCTATTTTGACTCATGCCCACAAAGCTGGTGGAACCTGGAGGTCCGATTCTGTCTCTCTCTTCTTCTCATGGAGTTCCCTTGGTAAGAAGCCCCGCCCGAACAAGTCGGGTCCCACCGAGCCCCGAGGTGAAGAAGTTGAACTGGTTGATCGGGGGGCGCCCCCTTCTTGGAGAAATGTCTCACTATTCCAGGAACACCGCCAAAAAACAGGGGGTTCTACTTAGATCCGGGGTCAACATTACGCACAAGCCACTAAAACTTGGAAGGCAAGTCATACATGGCAAAAAGCGAACCCAGATGTGCGGCGCACATTCGTGACGATTGCTACGCGAAAACTGTGAGCGAAACCAGCCACTTTGGATGGCCCTCGCTTCGAGACACCCATCTGTGCGAGCAAGACCCGGCCATTTTCGAGAGATGCGCCGTGTTCCTGCACCTCCTCGCAAGAAGACCTCTCCCCCACCCCAAATCCAGAACTTCCAAAACAGTGAACCACTGACAAGCCCCGGCTCCACCACAAAAGAATCCTCCTCCCGCGACCCCCCCCCCCCAACCCCCCACCCCCCCAACCCCCAACAACCAACCCCAACCCCCCAACCCCCCCACCCCCCCAACCCCCCCACCCCCCCCAACCCCCCAACAACCAACCCCCCAACCCCCAACCCCCAACCCCCCAACCCCCCAACCAACCGACCAACCAACCAACCCCCCAACCCCCCAACCCCCAACCCCCCAACCCCCCAACCCCCCAACCCCCCAACCCCCCCCCCCAACCCCCCAACCCCCCAACCCCCCAACCCCCCAACCCCCCAACCCCCCAACCCCCCAACCCCCCATTTTCAACAGAGGCCTGGCACACTGATGTCCGCAAACGAGATGGGCAGCTCACGGCCCCGCAGCAGCAGCACCAGCAAAGGCTGGCCTTCCTCTAGCGGCGACACCCGCAGCCGGTCCCCCAAATTCGCCACGCGCACCAGCGGCGCCTGGGCTCTGCGGCTTATAGGCCTGCCTGACTCAACACGCTAAGAGCAAACAAAAAAACACAAAAAACGGTATTTGAGTGTTGCGGCTTTTTCGAATGCGCTCTGTTCTTTGCTCTCTCCGCGCCTTTTTCCCTCATGCAGCCCCACCCCCCACCCACCTCCCAACTACAGGTGTTGTAATCACCTAACCCCACGCTCATCACTTACCCTCGCTGGCACAGGCATCTGGAAACCAACTTGCAAGTTGGGTGGAACTCGAAAAGTCGCCGCGTCAACGGGATCCGGTGACTCACTCCGCCATGGTCTGAGAGGCCACGCCATCAAAACTGCTTGGACCCCTCGCTTGGGATCTAGAACCATGTGCCCTAAGTTCCCTGTAACACACCCTCTGCACCACATTTGGCCAAATGCACAATGAGTTCATGGAGGGTAAAAAACGCATGGTTATAACAATTTACCTACCCATAAGTACCTTCCCAGCACGAGGTTGCCCCCCGACAGGATACATCCTGTACAAGAAGTCAGTGGCTATTTGTGTGATTCTGCATGCCTAGAGTCAAACCACCAGTCACATGGGCACTAAAGAGCTACAACAGCTCCGCAACAAAAATCCACCACTGCAGTGAGCAATCAACGGAGCACCCTCACAAGGTACCCATCCCGAAACCAGAAATCAGCGGGTATTCTGTGTGATTTTGCATGCCCATCTGTATCCTGTAAGGGTCTCTGTTGGATCCAAGCCGCACCTCCTTATGGGCCCCCAAACACTCCCGGCTGAGATCAACCCGCCTTGGCCGCACCCTCCACGGCCGCCGCATTGGTGGGCAAAAGCCCGCCCGAGGTGGCGGAGAGGCGCCAGAACAACAGCGCCTCCAGTCAAAAGCAGTCGAGTGCACCTATGTGGGGGGTTGATCAATATGACCACGGTCCCATTTAAGAAGAAATATCTGCCTTTTTGCGGTTTCCCCCACTGGTCATCCCATGTAAAGCACCTGATCAACCCGCATGTTTTGAGGTACCCCTTACCGTTTAGCAGACAGGGAGAATCCAGGAAAAGTAAAGTGGGATGTTCAACGGGGATTCCTCCTGAACCGGAACTACTCTTGGAACTGACTAAGCAGGCCGCAGCCCCCGAACAAAGGAACACGATGGCCCCTCCAGATAAGCGATGCCCATTGCACGACCACTTGGCCCCTGCCTCTGACGCCCCAGCCGTCCGCGCGTCCACGTGCTCTGCGCTCTTGCTCAGGTCCACCTCCAGGGGCGATGCTGTCCCGTCGCTGCAGCCGGCCGTCGCTGATTGGCTGGCGCTGGCGAACAAGGCCACCTTGCCCGTAGTGCTACTTGCCCCAGTCGCAGCGGTTGCGGCACCCGTGGTGGTGCTACCCTGCGCCGTCGTCGAGGCCGCGCCCGCCGCTGTGGTCGTCGTCGTCGCAATCGACGCCGCAGCCGTGGTCGTCGCTGGCGTGGGCGGCGGGGCCTGGGCGGGTTGGGTCAGCCCCTTTGCTTTAGGCCCTTTCAACCGCCCAGTTTAAACCTCCCTGTGCCTTCCAAATTCAACCCACCTCCTGGCTTCCCTTGAAACTCGATCCTTCTGGCTTCTTCAACATCTGGCAGCCTCTTCGCGCGCGGCTGGGGTGCAAACCAAACCCCCCCAACAGCCCCCCCCACAGCTCCCCCCCGCAGCCCACAGCTCCCCCCCGCAGCCCACAGCCGCCCACAGCCGCCCCGCCTTGGCGTCCCAGGCCCCGGCGCTGGCGGCCGCCAGCTGCGACTGCAGTAGCTGCACCTCGGCCTTCGCGGCCTCCACCGCCTTCTCCGCCTCCCGACGGATCGATCCGCGCGATCGATCCGGTCGCGCTGCGCGAGACCCGAGGCGGCCGAAGGCAAGCCGCGCGGCGGCTCGGCTCTTGTTCTTTCTTTGTGGAGGGGAGGGGGGAGGGGAGGGGGGGACGAAGGGAAACAAAAGGAAAGCCGAAGCCACGTTGGACAGACCCGATGGTGGGCGCCTCGTCTGCTTTGGTGGCTCAGTACCCTTTGATGGGTTTTGGACGGTGTTAAGGGAAATTACAAGGAGACCGAAGCCCGTTTCCAATGAAGCAACCCGACCAAAAAAAAAAAAAAAAACATCCGGGCAACGCAGGCCTCAAAAGGACCCTGGAACCTATCTGCGCGTGCCCTGTTCAAGTAAAGCCACCAAGCACCACTGTCATGGCCCAACAGCACCCCGAATCCCAAGGCCTCCTGGAGCGCCTGACGATTCAGCACCGCGGTGTTGTACGCGGCATTGCTCACGTAGGTGCTGTTGCTGGTCAAGGCAAGCAGCGACTGATCCATCGCCTCACGGAGAAAAAATCAGGGAAGCAACTTGGGGGGTTGGATCTTCAGGCGCCATCTTTCAGAAAAATAACGCGCCGAAACACTCCACACGGCAGCGGGGAAGACTAGAGAAGTCTCAACAATCAATCCACCATCTCCGGCCACAGCCGCCCTCAAAAAAGAGCCGGGAGCCTAAGGCAGCTCTCCCAAATTGGAGCTTTTAGCCTGAGGTCTGAGTCACCCCTACCCCCCTAAAAGGCCGGAAAACATAGCGAGGCGCGGCCTTGAATGCAGCCCAACCTGGCACCCCGACATGAAACTCCATGTCAACCCCCTGAGCCATAGACCATGCCCTTACAGAACTCCGTGATCGCTCCGAGCACGGCCGAGTCCGGCTCCCACCACCAGCTAGGTTCTTGACTGAGGGTTTTGAGAAGTGGCTATGGGTCAAAACCCCGTGAACATCCCAATCCCCGCTAAAACAGACTAAAATGGTGGTGCACCTACCCAAAATGGTACCATTGGTGTTGACCCACGGCCAAGTACATATTGGTCAACATTACCAAAGAGCTGGCATCCAGCCACTCAGCCCCGCGCCTGCTTGGCCGCCTCAAGGCGGGGCTGAGACGGAAGGGTTGAAATCAAGATAGTCTGCCCCACGGGCGAACAGTATGCAGTCCCCTTTTGGGTGGAAGTTCTGCCCCATCTGTTGGAACAGCCAGGGAATCCTCTGTCCCCCTCCGACGCAACGCATGGACTGAGGAGGTTTGCGTTTGGAGGAGGGGGGGGGAGTGTTTTCATTACTCTGACATTAACAGTCATCCCCTGCCGCCGTAGTCGGGCGTGCCCGAAGCTACGTTCGGTCTTGATTTATTGCTCAGGGTTCCTTCCAGGAAACATCCAAAAACTGCCTGCGTTACAAGGGATGCTCTAACTCAGCTGGCAACTGGGCCAAGTGTAATGTTGACCCAGGATTCATAAACGGTGCAAAAGTTTGTTGAATCCCCGCTAAAAGCGGACACCCCCCGATCAAAATCAACCAGAGGTTCTACTTAGATCCGGGGTTCACATTTTGCGGTGACTCCAGGGTCAAAGGGCCAAGAGCGGCTCTTCTCCAGCAAAAGACTCGCCAGCCATAGGTGACCTTTTGGAAAAATAGATGGGTTTCCCTGGTAAATGTGATAAACCCATCTAAACCAACCAGTTCCATCTAGTTTTAGCCAAAGCAACCTAAAAAGGGATTCTTGCATTATATTATACACCTGAACATTGCCTTGTAAATGGTGGCTTCCCCTTATTTTGGTGAGGAGCCCTGTAACCTTCCATTTGCTTAAGCCCCCGGGAAAAAATGTAAATATGTCCAGTAGTGATAGATTCCCTCCTATTCTTAGCCAACACTTAAAAAGGACCCCTGCCACGCGCCGGCCTCGAGCTTGGACTCGTTGGCCTGCAGCGCCGCCTGCGCCTCCGTGAGCGCGGGGGCCAGATCCACCGCCACGGGCAGGGAGCAGCTGCCTCGGGGCGTCCAGCGCAGGCGCTGGCAGGGCGCCCAGGCGAAACCAACAGGGAGCCGGAAAGCCAAGACGCCGAGAAGCCAAAAGCGGAAAAAGAAGAAGAAAACAAGCGAGGGGAGAAAAGAATTAACCCCCCCTCCCCCACCAAAAAACAAAATGCCGCTGAGCCACTCCCACGAGGGCAGGGCTGCATGAGCCTGGGTGCCGGAGACGAAGAACAGCCCATCTGCACATCTGCTCCCCAGCTTTTGGGGTGGCTTGACAGGCTTCCACGAACTGCGAGCAATGATGCAAGGCCCGGAAAAACAAAAAAACTATGAACAAAGCGCCCCCCCCCCCGTTCCCCCGTCCTGCATTCCAAGGGGCCATGTCTCCTCCGGGGGTGTCACTGGAAGGGTGCTGGGAGTGTACTGCAGCAATCGAAGGATGCGGTTCAGCAGAGGCTTGCTGGTCGCCTTCGTGAGTGCCACATCCGGAAAAGGACCCCGGAGCTTGCCAAGCAGTTGGCAATTTGCGTGAGCGGGCGCTTCCAATCCATTCCCCTCTCCCATATCTGACTTTCATGTGCAATGGGATGGATGCAGCGCCATTCCAATACAAAGCGCCAGTCATGCCAGCCCTTTTCCAATACAAAGCGCCTGGGAGCTCTATTTGACCCCCCCGTTTCTAAAGAAAAAATACTCTTAGGGTGCCTTCCCTATGAGGTGCCACAGTCATGTCCACCTCCTCCGTCCCACCCGCACCCATTTCTCCAAACTTCGGCCGGGCGTCCATGGTGGCGTTCCGCAGCAAGATCCGGGCGCCCACCTGGCTGCTGTTGCAGCTGGTGGTGATCTCGCCCCAGAAGTGCTGGAAGGAAGCCTCTCACGGCACGGAACCCCGCCCCCCTCTTCCGCTCGGAGCCATGAGCTCACTGCACGGAACTGACTCGTGTCGGCCCAGCGGAGTACGATGTTCGAGCCAGGCCCGGGCCCAAAAAGCTCCAGCTGGGATTTTGGAGCAGAATCAAGCCGGCAAGGTGTCCATCCGAGGTGCTCAGCCTTCATTCACGAGATTCCGAAAGGAAGCACCTCCAAATCGAGGAGAAAAAAAAGGCAAAAAGACACTGGAAGAAATGCCTTAAATATTGCACACAACAGAACAAGGACCCCCTGGACCTGGTGGAGTCTGGTTCGCTTTCTCGCCGTCCTATCCAAAAAATGCCTCCGCCGTCCGGATCCAAAGCGACACACCGCTAGCCGCTAAGCCGAGACACGCCGGCGAAGACGTGGGACAGCTGCAGGGGCAGCGTCCCACTCACCAGCACTGGCTGCGTCTCCCCGACCTGCCAAATTAAATATTTATATTATAACTTATTCCAATTATCCAACACACAAATTCTCCATTGACCCAAAATCAATATACACACCAACCCTATTTCAAACATTAAACATTCACAGCACTTAAACAAAATAATCATCACCATTAACAAAAATCAACAATTGGGGCCCCACATGACCAAAACGTTGACTTGGCCGATGCCAAGCTGTCTGAGAAAACTCATTTCCCTCAACGACATCTGCATAAAAAGCATGCAACACACTGGTATTTACACGGCTTGTTTGCAATCTTCTTCAAGTCATGGTTTAGCTCTGAAAGAACATGAGCAGAAAGTCCAAGGGCTGTCAATTTGAACTTTGTATGAGAAACCGCCGTGCCGGAGAAACGCTGACCCATACCCGCACGAGATAAAACCAACTTTCACGGAAAAACTCTAACCACATCACAAGCCCCCTGTCCCCCCCCTTTTCTTCCCCTTCCCTTGGCTGCACCTAGTCCAGGTTCAGCACGTAACCGGCGCCTCCCCGTGCCATGGACACCTGCAACCCTGGCCTTGGAAGGCAGGTCCGCTTCGTTCAGCAGGGGCGCCAGGAGGTCAAGCCCCGGCTCTGCGCCTGAGCACCCGAGACTGAAACCCCGGAGAAGCCCATCAATTTGCCTAGATCCTGCAGTAGAGAAGTTAGAATAAGGGTACCGTCTTTTTGCTGTCGTCTATTTTAGTAGGGGGACCCTCCAACCAAAAAAGGGTGAGAAAAGGCACTACTGGGGGACCTGGTTGTTGTATTTGTGTCGTGGATTTGAGCGGGACAATGCAACGCTCGTTTTTGTCTGGACACCCGCACTCTGTGGACTCAGTTCCTCTTGACCCTCTTCCGAAATGGTGCAGGCCACGATCCCCAGTATGCGGACAGCCAACGCTTCTTCTGCGATCGGACGGGAGGGTTCCCCAAAGCTTCGACACTCTGAGCAACCTACGAACCTCCATAGGAACGATGACATTGGCAAAGTACCCGGTGCCGGTGACCTGACGGCCGCTCCAAAGGGAAGCCTCTTGAAGGCTGTTTGCACCCCCTGCGCTTCTTGAGGCGTCTTGCTTTTCTTGTCATGTACTTTTTGAGGGGGTCATGGACACTCAGCCATGTATCTCACAAAACCAATACACTCAAGGACGTGGTGTCCAAATACGCTCTAGATTCCAAGTTTGAAGGGCAGGGCTCTCCTATTCAGAGGCAAACCCCGAATGAAGTCTGAAGCTTTGTTTGCGCCCGTTTCACGGGATGGAAGCCTACCCTCCAGCTCAATCCCACCTAGAAGTAGGCACAGGCAGAAACCACAAGCTCCGCACGGTCTTTTCGGCCGGCTGACTCATGGATCAAAGCTGTAAACATCCTCGAAACTGAGCACACTGCACTGGGGATTTGGTCTCGCAAGTGTGTGCAACCCATTGAGGCCAATCTGGTCCAAGCTGGTCCTTGGTTGGGTCACCGGGTTCTATCCGGCCCTCTGGTAAACATCATTTTCACGTGGATTCATGTCCGCCACCCACTTTGAAGGGTTCCAAATTCTATTCCTCGTCGTGCCCCTCTTGGGACACAATCAAAACCTGGTATAATAAGTATAAGAAAATGTGAACCCACACCCTAACGAAATAAAACGTCGCCAACCATGTCTGGCTGGATCCCTCCAATTACCCGGGCTTGATTGCGACTCATTTCGGGTTGCCCTGACCCTGCAAAGGGTAAACCCTTCGCCACGAAGAAAAAACAAAACACAAAAACATCTCCCATCCCTCCCCCCTCCACCCCAATTTCCTTCTGGATCCACCCCCCATTGCTCGACCCACGCCTCCCGGTGCACCAACACCGCCTCCAGCTCGTGGCTGAGCTGCTGCTTCTTGCCCGCTGCCACCAGCGCGGGCTTCCGCAGCTGGATGCTCCTCGCTTGTGATGAAAAAACCAGCCCGCTTCCCCTTCCCCCCCTTCCCCCCTTCCCCCCTTCCCCCCTTCCCCTTCTTCCCCTTCCCCTTCCCCCTTCCCCCTTGCTCCTTGCTGGCTTCAGAAGCCTTTAGGGATCCTTGTTGCACCCTCTGGAACCCTTCAGGGAATCCCGGTGAGAGCAGGCGGGCCCCAACTCCCAGCTCCGGCAAAACCGAGCCGCGGAACCCCCCGAGGGGACCCGGTGCTGGACTTGAGATGCGGTCGCCCCCGGAAACCTGGTGTCCATGGACCGCAACCTTGCGGTGGATATGGCGTATACCACATGAACATGACCAAGGGGGCCAAAACTAGAGTGCAGGGTCCTACCATCTGTGCGCAAAGTCAAGCAGCGACAAACACCTTCTTATCTTCCCAATGTGGCGCTCTGCGCTCAAGGAAACTTGGAAACTTGGAAACTGCTTTGCTCTGACTTCGCGGAGAAAGTGTGTTCAAATGTGAAGAAGGAAACGCCACCTCGGGTATCTGCTTGCGTCCGCGGCGCTGCAAGATGTACTTCTGCGGGATGGTTGCCGCAGAAGTCGATCCCGAAGTTGACGGAGTCGTCAAGTTGAAATTGGCCTCGTGATGAGCAAAAACTCTGGCCAACGCCTAAAAAGAAGAAGGCAAACACAGAGAACCATTCTTTTCAACCATTGTTCTTTTCAAAAACCAGCTGTTTCCCAGGGATTTTGATGGTTTGCTAGGTAGCCCCAGAACACTGGCCGGACAAACTCCCTCAAATGGCGGCTGATCGCCAAAGACTGGCAACAGCTCTCTTTGGCCCAGCTGCTACCATGTCCGCGGGCGCGGTGATGACCAGAGCACTGTCAGACAGCACTGACATCAAGGGGCTTTTGTACCTGCACCAGAGCCACAAACTCAATCGGTGCACACAAAGCTTCCTCCCCACATGCCCGCATGCTCGCAGCAAACATAAGACTGGTGCCATGACGCGCAAATCCCGAATCCCCATCGAAAATCTGGCACAAACTAGAAGAATGATGCTGCACCAGTTTCAATCCCAATGGAAAATCCAGCTTGGCTTGCACCAGCTTGGCTTGCTTCAGCCAAGCTGCTCGTCCACGTCATAGTCCAGAAGCACCGGCGCAACCAGAGCTGGGTTTGGTACAGGCCACCTGTCCAATGCATGCGCGGTGCAGCTTTTCGTGCGCAGCCCTCCAACGGGCCCTGAAGGCAAAAACCAAAGGGAGCAGCAGCAGAAACACCGACCACCACAACCACAACCACAACAACAGCAGCAGCAGCATAAACAACCACCAGGCAACGGCAACGGCAACGGAAAAAGGCACATGGCGGGTGCTCCGATTTGAAGCTGCGCCCTGCTTGCCAAAGAACCGGCTTGCCAGCACCGGCCGTGCTGTTTAAGTCTCAATGGGATTGCAAAACCAAAGCTAGAGGGTGTCTCATATAGTGGCTTCCAAAGCCCCTCTCCCCCCCTCTGCCCACCCCCCCCCCGCCCCCGCCCCGGCCTGTAGCAAGCCCCAGCACTGCCCAAGATCACTGTACATCCGTCGGAGCCTACGAGTGGGAGTAGTGCTCGCTAAGAAGACTGTGTTTTTGAGGAGTCTTGCTGGGGCATTTTGAAAGGGAAACCTAAAGGAAACCACCCATTTGAGGCTTTAAGGGATCCGGTTGTTTGACACACATCCGCATTGAAGCCAAACAAACGGCTGTGGGTCAAAAATAGGTACCCAAAATGGATCCCTGGCAAATGGAAACGTGGACTAAAACCTGGGGTGACCTGTTGGTTCAATATTGACCCATAGCCAAATAAACATTGCCCTGGGAGGGATGTCCTGTGCTGTGGGATCAAGCAGTGTCCCTCTTGGCCAAGCCGAGTCAGCATTGTTCTTGGTGGAAAATGAGTACATGTCAAAATAGGGGGACCGCAAAATTATAACATGGTTTTCACTTTCCTTTCCAACCTTCAAAGGGCAACCCGAAAAACGCAAACCCAAATATGAACTGCTAATGGTGGCTTGCACTCGGATAACTAAAGGTCCTTGTTCGCCAGCTTTGCCCCAGGCTACGGAGCCCCCTCCAAACTGTACCAGTTGTAGGTCGTGCGCCCGCGCCTGTAAAAAAGACTTGGCACGTCATATCACAACGACTTGGCACGTCATATCACTCGGCACGTCTGCCGACCCCCCAGAGAACAAATTTGGGAACTCGGAAACCGTGGCAATCGACGTGGAAACAGCCTTGGAAACCTTGGATTGGGAGACCTGTGGGAAACCTTGGGAGACCTGCGGGAAACCGAGCCGACGCGAACCACGGATCCGCACCTTCAGATCCTGCGCACAGCGCGGCGATCGCAACGAGCCACACCTCAGCGCAGGCGGGGCGCCAGCTGAGATGACCTTTTGCTTGTTTTCTAGGCTGTCCGTTTTCGGATCCCCCGCTCGAAGCTTAACTTTTAGTGGGCTAAATGGCAAACCCCACTAAAAGGCTAAAAAGCTAAAAAGCTAAAAAGCCAAAAAGCCAAAAAGCCTAAAAGCCTAAAAGCTCAGGGGATGGCTGGGAGCCACCAAGTGTTTTTCCTCTTTTGGCTGAAAGCCACGTGACGTGTGATGCTCAGAATCCCATGCCAGCCATGGTCCAGACTCCTTCAACCACTGCGAGGTGGCCAACAACGGTGTCACAAAGAACCCTTGCACTGTGATGGCCCCTCCACTTGACCCCACGGCTCATGTGCCACATGTGCCAAGCTCTTTCTTGCTTGCCACCCGTTTTTCAGGGCAGATCCTGACGCCCCGCTACAGATCAACATTGAGCCCATAAAGTAACTCTGTTGAATTCATTTGTACATAGTACCCGATTTGAGTCGTTGGGTCCCATATGATTCAAGGAATTCGAAAAACCTCCGATTCCCCCCATCTCCTGCCTTTCTTGAACTGCCCATCGGTCTCTGAGCAGAGGGGTTATGAACCTGCCACATGGGAAGAGGTTTTCTGGAAACATGTTGGGCACCCCAGAGGCCAACAGAATCAAAGCTAAATTTGGATTGGCATCCACGCTTGGACTCTTGGCAATTCAAGTGAGTCACAGTTTTGTCCTGGTATCAACGGTTGTTGTCCCAAATAATTCCTTCCCACTTCCCACTTGCCTGTTTTTGAGGGAACGGTCAGTGTTCAACCCCTCTCCAAGGATCAAAAAATGTTCGACTATCACTTCAGGCCTGGGTCAGTCAAAAACAAAAAATGCGGTCAGCAAGGCGGTGACAACAGGCCCTCCCGCTAGCTGTTCATGGAGGGACAAAAGAAAAAGAAACGGTTGCCTTCTTAGCGCCAGCCAAAACGGGTTCCACAGCAGGCGCAGCGGGTTACGTTTTTAGCCTGACGCCTTGAAGACCTGAAGATGCGCCTTCAATGAAGGGTTCGCAGAAAAAGAAACATCCAATCGCATGTCACCAACCTACATCTGCCCAAATCCCGAGGAATTGCATCTAGTGAAGGACCGATTTTGTCAAATGTTACAAACTCTTTGTTTGCCCAGCACTCCGGGTTTGTGTTTGTGAGGGTACTTTCAGGTTGGCTTGAGGGGAGACTCAATGCACAACCACAATTTTGCCCCCCACCAATATTCCCCCCCCCCATTTTCACACATACTAACTTCGGCTTTAGACATGTCTCGAAATCCACTCCATACCTGGGCTCCGTCCGGCCGTTTCGCCCTCCGTTTCAAATCCCTCCGGACTTCGCCTGGCAAAGTGCCCAGGGGAGATTTCCGCTATCGGGACTCAAGGCTTTGAGCCATCGTGGTCTTCGGAGCGACGGATCCCGACGTGGGCAAACCAAGCGCCCGAAAACGGGCAGGTCTTCCACGGCAAAAGCCTCCCGAACTGGAAATCACTGGTTGATTTCACCCAAAAAGCGAGATGACATGCAAGCAGAATGCAACTCCCCGGGCCAGGCAAAGTCCGACGGACCTCGCTCTGGGCACCGGCACCCCAAGAATCCGTACGTTGCATTTACTTCTGCCTCCGACATCTTCCGACAACAGGTGGAAGAGAACACACAAGTTGCGGCGGGTGACGGGGCCTTGTCATCTCCAGCGATGGGGATCGCAATGTCGGCGACCATCTGTCGAGGCGAAGGCGGGGCCGCAGCAATGCCGGCCCGAGGGCGATTTCTCCCCTAACATGGAGCCATTAAATAGGTGGTCCGATTCCCAAAAAAAGATTCCTCTATACAAATGTGTTTGTTTTGGGGATTCAATGCTCATCTGCAGGTGAGCAAGGGATCGACAGGGACTTGTACCTCCCCGCACAAGCCTTGCTTGCCGTCGATTGCCGCTCCTGCCGGTCAGCACCAGGCTCACCTGAGCCGCTTTGCTGCCGCACAACGAGTCCCATGGTGGATGACCCCCACATACTGCAAGTGCGGGAACCAGGAAAGCACCTGTTTTACCGTAATTTGCAGCCCAATTTCATTCATTGCGCGGCGCGTAGTCTAACATGCTGTCAAGACCGGCACTTGGACCCGAAAATTTGCGGTTTTCTCGTTTGTGTCCCTTTGAACCAACCTGGCCATGGCTCAAAACCAATGGTACCATTTTGGGATAGGTGCACCACCCATCTTAGTTAATGTTAGTGTGGGGGTACGGGGCGGCCACCTCAAGAGGTACCCTCCAAAAACCCAAAGCCACACCCAGGCAACGTCTCGGCGCTTCACTCCCGCCTCTTCTGACCTCTCAGCCGCAGCCTCGCAGCCTCGCGACTTGAGCCTCAGGCAGCTGGGGCTTCCAGGGCACTCAGCGTTCCAACCAACAACGACCAACCAAGAACAAACCAACCACCCGATTCGCCTTGCAAAGCTGAGCGTAAAAGGGGACATGAATCGGAACAGTGTGAACCAACCAACATCCAAAGAGGAAGAAACAACAGACAACCAACAGCCAAACAACAACCAACACCCAAAAACAACCAACAACCAACCGACCGCAAACCTAACACCCAAACCACCACCACCACCATCACCACCACTGCCACCGCCACCGCCACCGCCACCGCCACCACCACCGCCACCGCCACCGCCACCGCCACCGCCACCGCCACCGCCACCGCCACCGCCACCGCCACCGCCACCGCCACCGCCACCGCCACCGCCACCGCCACCACCACCACCACCACCACCCCACCACCACCACCATCGACCACAAACTCAACAGCGCAAAGACAAACCAACCAACAGCAGCCTTTCCCATGGAAACTCGCGCGTGCCGTTGCGTCGTCGAAACCCACCCCGAGGCCCTGGCACCACGTTCCCGTTTTGAGACTTGGTGACGCCTCGCGATGACACCCTTGACGCGATCCACACCTTGAGTTTGCTTTTGATTTGAGGGTACCCATGGTGCCCTTTCTATGGCTTAAAGAGGGATCAACCCGAACTGTTTCTGTCGTGATTGGCATATGTTACCTTCAGCTGTTCTCTATTTCTCCATTCCAAGAGAGCCCAATCACAGGTGCAACGTTGGCCCAAGATGCAGAGTTGTTGATGTTGGCACCTTCCTCTAGCTCCCGGTTGCATGTTCACTAGGTTGCCTGGACAAATCAAAGCAGAAAAAAAAAGATGGTGTAGCACATGTGCTTAAGCCGGTAGCACGAATCAGGTCCGTGCCTGGAATCTCCATGGCAAAAAGGGGCGCGGACGCACCCACCCATGCCAAACCAGATCTCTGAAATTCACACCGACACGCGCAAACGCAATCCCGACTGGTCTTTGCATCGGGTCATGCTGTCACTGCGTGATGCACTTCTAGGTGATCCGAGCCTCTTTGCTGCTGAAAGCATGCCGCAAAGGTTTGAACCACTTGCTGCCACACGCCAGCTTCACTTGGCTTCGACAATGGATTCGGTCAGATCTACAATCTCCCTCACAGCTGGACAATCCATATCTTGAAGGGGCCTTCGCCAGGTGTCACGTTAATGGATAAGAATTATATGGGTGTTTGTTTAGGGGACCCACCAAAATGGTGTTGTTGTCCTCTTGGCTGTCCCTTTAAAACCACAAGAACTACTCCGTGTCGGGTTCAGTCCAACCCTCACTTGCCCCAAAGACCTGGAAATAAAAGCCGATCACCTTTTGGGACCTCCAAAACTGTGGGATCCCAAAATGGGGAGGAGAAAAAAAAAAAAGCCAAATTCTCAACTTCGCCTTGGGCCTCACGTGAGGCCCAGAGGCCCAACCCCCGTGGCCGCGCGCGCGCGCGCGCCTTTCAGCCGCGCCGCGGGTGACGCGCCCTCCGCGGCGCTCCGGCGCCGCGCCGCGTCGGCGGGCGCGGAGCCCAGGGGGCCGCTGGAGCCCCCGTACTCCGCCGGCAGATTCCTGAAGGCAAGCTCCGCCGCTCGGGGAGGCGATTGGCCACCCAAAAGGGAAGTTGGAAATGTGTCCTTTTCTGAAAACCCAAAAAAACAACACAGAGGAGCATGGTGCTTTTCCCCCCATGCAAATATGAAATGGCTGAAGCAGTTAAGTCCAGGATTCTTGGGGTCGATGTACTCTCGCAAGGTTTGCATGGACGCCTGTTGGCCCACCGAGACCCGGAGCTTGCGCCGCTGCTTCTCAGGGAAGAGCGGGCTGAAGAGGTCGTAGACTCTGCCCCACCACTCGGGCGCATTGATGACGATCAGCACGTGGTCTCTGTCCGGAAAATGTCGCTGGATGATGGAAGACGTCTTTGCAAACATCTGGACCACAAAAAGCGTGACCTGGGAAAAGCGAAACCCCTCCAGGTCCACAATGACGGTTCCTTCCTGTACATCATCACGTTGAAGCCACACGTCCCAAGTGAACAAGGTCTGCCAAATATAATTGGCCCTTATGTCATTCACAGTGATCCCGGCATTCTTCAACGCACTGGGATCCATCTTGCCGATGATCTCCCAGTACGTCAGGCGCCCCGACCTATCCGTCAGGTGCAAAAAGGTCGGGTAATGCGGCTGGATCTTGAAATACATGGGGTTGGGTCGGCTGACAATCTCCTCATCCCCAATGTTGCACCTAAGCTAAACGATTGTCGCTTTTGTTGCCAGCCGTCACGGTGTGTTCTGAACCCATTTGCACAAACTGATGCACTGAAAGAACTTGAAGCGGAAACGGCATAGACCAACATTTCACAATGCGTTTTCCGCTGTCTTTGCCGCCACCACAGAACTCGAGGGACTGACTTCAACAGCTCGGCCAAAAAATGCTGACAAGTGCCTCGGGGCGTCGAGTTTTGGAGGGTACTCTTGCGTGGCTGCCTTTTGCTCAAAAAACCACTCACTGCAAACCCCAGCTGCCCCGTTCTTGGAGCTCGCATTCGAGACCCGGAAAATCCTGCGGCGACCCAACATTTGCGGCTTTTTGACGCAAAGCAAATGAGGGGTCCAACCCCACCATCGAAAATATGCAGGGGGGTGTAAAAAAAAAGAGGTGTAAAACGAGGTATAAGGTTGTACTGGCTGCAGCGTGTTTTTTGTTTGGGTTCGCGACCTCTCTTTTTTTTCGCGCCGAGGGGCCGCCAGGTCAGCGTCTCCTTCCAGCGCCGCAGGGCAAGGCAGCGGTCGCCGTTGCAGGCCTTCGCTCCGCTTTTCCGCCGGGGGAAACGAGACCTCTCCGTGGATGTCTCACACCACCTAAGAAAGCCTGGAATGGATTGATTCCCCCGTAAACTCCAATAGAGAGTGACTCTAAGAGAAAGCCTGGAATGATTTGATTCCTCCGCAAAACTAAATCGAGAGTGACTCTAAGAAAGCCTGGAATGATTCGATTCCTCCGCAAAACTAAATCGAGAGTGACTCTAAGAAAGCCTGGAATGATTCGATTCCTCCGCAAAACTAAATCGAGAGTGACTCTAAGAAAGCCTGGAATGTTTCGATTCCTCCGCAAAACTAAATCGAGAGTGACTCTAAGAAAGCCTGGAATGATTCGATTCCTCCGCAAAACTAAATCGAGAGTGACTCTAAGAAAGCCTGGAATGATTCGATTCATCCGCAAAACTAAATCGAGAGTGACTCTAGGAAAGCCTGGAATGATTCGATTCCTCTCCGCAAAACTAAATCGAGAGTGACTCTAAGAAAGCCTGGAATGATTCGATTCCTCCGCAAAACTAAATCGAGAGTGACTCTAAGAAAGCCTGGAATGATTCGATTCCTCCGCAAAACTAAATCGAGAGTGACTCTAAGAAAGCCTGGAATGATTCGATTCCTCCGCAAAACTAAATCGAGAGTGACTCTAAGAAAGCCTGGAATGATTCGATTCCTCCGCAAAACTAAATCGAGAGTGACTCTAAGAAAGCCTGGAATGATTCGATTCCTCCGCAAAACTAAATCGAGAGTGACTCTAAGAAAGCCTGGAATGATTCGATTCCCCTGTTAAGTCCAATAGACAGTGGCTTCCCATAGTTGCAAAGTGGTGCGAAACGGAATTCGTCCATCCACAGTATGGTTTTGCTGTTTGGTTCACTTGCACGTAGGGCATCCGTGGAGGAGGATTCCTAGGTCTGAGGTTGACCCCAGATTGAAGTTCAACCATCCGGCTTATTAATTGAGGTTATCCCCGACAAATCCTCACACTCTCTAAAAAAGAACTCGTTGAAATTGGCCAAAGGGTTCTCTTCCAAAGAAGGAAGCCTTGTCCCCCTCTTCTCTCTGACGCCCTGCTGTTGCTGCAATGTCTTGACGAGTCAGGGCAATTGTGGCCATTTGCCCCACCAGCCTGTCACTTACAAGAAGCTGATGTCCCCCTTCAATCAAAGGGCTGGCAACAAAACCGCTCGCCACGCGACCCTGCATCGCATCACGCATGTTGCAAAACCTCCTCGGACTAGAAGAGCACCCGGATTTCAATCTAAGACACATGCATGGTAGCGGCGCCAAACTGCGTAGAATTTCTCTGCCGGAGTTGTTTTTCTCACACGCCTTTTTCCGCCTGCTCAGGTCGAATCCCCCCAAAACCCTGCTTGAAAGGGGGCTCCCGGGCACCAGGGCAGGGGTAGTCACGCCAAAGCCGGCAAAGAGGTGGGTTCACACGGCAAAGCCCCCACGCGGAAGGCTAGGCTAAGGCTAAGGGTGTGCCGAGAGCCGGCTGCCGTCCAGGCAAAACAAGCCAGCGGAAGGCAAGGCGGACAAGCTGGCAGCAAAGGCCTGCATGGCAGCAGCGGTCAAGAAGCCAGACCAGCGGTGGACCAGGGCGGCCTGGTAGACGCAAGGCCGCAGGGGCATCTCTGGCTTTGGCCCGGGCAAGCTGCCGCAGGAAGTCGGCAGTCTCGGTGCTCCAGCGGCCACCAACCTCGACCCCAAGGACGACCAGGCCGCACCGGGAGGACCGGAGGAAGGCCACGGGTGCGAGAAGTCATGGCGGGAGCGCGGAACGGCATCGCGCGTGAGGGGCGATACAATGGTCGTGTCGACTGCAAGCTGGGCGCCGTTCCACAGAAGCAAGCCGTTAGCAATGACCTCAATGCGCCTGTCGTCCAGGCGGTCGACAGGGGCATTGAAAAAATCGCGCACAAGGGTGTTGCGCCGGCCTCGCGGCAAACCCGCGCAGCAGCGCGCTCGAGAGGGCAGCCGCGACTGCGCAAGGCACCGGACCGGGGGCAAGCTGCACGATGGTCGCCAAGAGGGTCGAGAAGGCGATCGCACCGGCAGCTGCGGGCGGTAAAGGCAAAGGCAGGCGCAAGCGCCGCAACAAAAGCACGCGGAACAGCGAAGGAGAGTAGGCAAGCTCCGGGCAGCTCGGCACGCTGGTGAAAACCCGGCTGCTGTAGGGGCCTGTTTGCGAAAACAAAAGTGCCTGAGAAGCCGGGTCTGTCTGGGCCCGGAGTTCACCTTGTCGTGCGCCCTGCTCCCATCTCTCTCTCTTTTGAAGACGAAAGCCGAGAAACAAATAAAGAGGGGAACAAGAAACACAGAAGAAGAAAAAAAAGGAAAGAAAAAAGAAGAAGAAGAAGAAGAAGAAGAACACCACAACAACAGGTTCGTTCCGCCCACTGGGGCTGGTCACCCAAAGTCACCCCGCCCACTCGCCTTCAGCATGTACCGCGGCACTGGCCGGCCCAGGGCCTCAAGTTGCTCCTCCCCGGCCTTGGGGCCCAAAGCGGCGGCCTGGGCAAGTTGGGCCCTGGAAAGGGCGACCCGGGGGTCAACGGGTTTCACTCAAAGTTGCATTTTTATGTTTATGAATTTACTTAATTGATTTTTAAATTCAATATAAAATAGGACCCTTTGGCTTCGGTTGTCCTCCTCGTTTCGTTTCTTGTATAAAATGAAACAAGGGCACCTCAACACCCACGCAATTTTCTTGGAACCAAAAGTGGAACCCCTGGTTGATTGATGGGTATTCATAGGGCCATGCATTTGTTTGGTGAGAATCCGGATGGATCACTTTTTGCAGCCCCTACTTCCAAAATCGCCACCACCATTCAACGGATTGCGCTTAGATGAGCAACGGAACCCCGCAAATGCCGACACAAAATTCCCAACGCTTGCACATCAAAGAAAACGCCCGCGCCCGTGCCTGACAAGACTTGGAGACAGGCTCGGCCAAGCAGAGGCCCCCCAGCCCCAAGCTGCAGGCACAAGCCGCAACTGCGGCCAAGAAACGAGAGGAAACTCGAGCAAGTGGCGCTTGGCGCGAACGCTGCAGAAACGGCATGGCATTGCCTGCCCTGACTTGCGCACGCTCCTACTTGCATGTCAAGTTAGAAAAAGTTGCGACCAAACACAGAATTATACAGCAAAAATTGAGGCTGTCCATGTTTCTTGTAATTGGCACACGCCAAGCTTGAGCCTTGCGTGTGCGCATACCCCCTAGTACATTCGGCGGGACACATGCGCAGTTTTGCCTTGAAAAAGGCGCGGGCCAACAAAAAACAACATATTCTAAAATCAAACGTTTTTTCCGCGCAATTTCGCCTTTTCGCCGGTCCAAAGCGCAAGTCGTGCGGAGAAGGTGGGGGATCGGCGCCGGGCTGCAGGGCCTCCCACGAGAAGAAGCAAAGAGCGCATAACAACTTCGGGCCGGCACTGTGTTGGGCGCCTGCAGCAATCGGAGGGGAGCCGCCAAGTCGGATTCGCAGGGGGCCGCACCAAGGAGGTCGGACAGACAAGACAACACGGCAGCTTCGTGCGAGTCCCCGAAAACCGCTGTCAAGCGAGGCGGCAGCATGCGAAGGACGTGGCCGGGATGGCCGGGGAAGCAAGGACAGCAAGGAAGAAGGTGCCAGACTGGGACAAAAGGTGGGCACACGAGGCGGGCGCGAGCTAGGGCGTGAGCTCAAGGGCGAAGCTGTCGTCGACAACGCGGGAGGCGGCACGTTGCCACCCCTGGCCCGGTTTTTCGAGGGGTCAGGCTCAGGCGGCCCTCCCTGGTAATGCTAGCCCACGGCGGCGGGTCGAACCCAAGGATTCTACACGCCTGCCGTACCAGCACCCAGGCGGATCCGGCACTCGCCTTTTTCCATCGCCTGGTTTTGCCCCTCCAGGAAAAACCCTTTAAGGGATGCCCCCGGGCACAAGGGGTCTTGGCAGCTCCTCATATCCCGGCGCCCCCGGCCCAAGAGGCCGTCACCGAGGCAGACGGCTGCCGGTGCTCGGCGGGCAAGCGGAGTCGGCAAGCAGCGCACTCCAGTCGGGGCAGGGCCCGCCAAAGTTGGACTGGCCAGCAGCAACCCGCCCCTCCAGTAAGGACTCGGCAAACGAAAGCTGGGCTGCAAAGGGGAGCAGAGCAGACCACCGAGCGACAAGGGGTTTTTCCAGAAGAGGCAAGCTATCGGCCTAAGACGCCCAATGCGCAGCAGGGGCGACAGCGACCGCAGAACGTCCACCAAGCCGAAGAGGCAACCTTGCAACGCCCAACGCCTGCGGGGGCAACGGGTGAACTCTGCCGTGGACTCAGGTGGGAGCAAACGCAGGACATGGTTGCACCGAGGAGGAGTGCAGCAGAACAGCAAAAGCAGCCAAGAAGCCTGCATGTCCTCCAAGGTGGGAACACGAGCGAGAAGCGTGCGCTGGCTCGCAGCGAGGGCGTCGAGCTGAGCTGCGACAAACTGGGGGGAGCCAACGGGCACGCCGAGCATGCGGAGAGCAAGGCAAGCGATCTGCGGAGATTCCAGGGGTTTCCTGGCCAGAAGCGTTCCAGACCCGCGTCTTGCCATGGTTCAGGTGGATGCACGCAGTGCGCCACAAAGTCTCAGACAGCCGATCAAAAAGGACGCGGACGCGGTCGGGCCGAGCGACGATGTAAACATCATCGAGGTAGGCCAACAGCAACTCGTTGGGCTCCAAACCAGCTTGGACTTCCGCAAGCGCGTCCCGCACGCCAAGGGAGTAAAGGGCCGGCATCAAAGCCCCTCAGCCTGAGAAATGGTATGGGCTGTGCCCTCAAGGAGTCATGCCACACGAACTCAGACGCAGAGGCGTAGAACAAACTGACGAACGGGAGACAGCGGTTAGCCTCCAGCATGGCCCGCCGTGACACGTTGTCAAAGGCACCAACCCCATTTTTTTTGCCAGCATGCGAAAGTGAAACGCCGTAGACTAGGCCTAGGTGAAACGCGCTCTACGACCCGAGAAGCCCATCAGCCTTCGGGCCGCAGCGGCAGCCGGCTAACCGCCTCAGCCGCGCCATGGCGCGCGGCCGCTAGCACCTCGGGCAAGGGCGGCGCAGCTCCATCCAAGGCATCCTGGCCCGCGCTAGGCAGGCCAGCGAGGGTGGCGGCGAGGGCCCGCTGTGCCGCAACGGCAACAACGCCGGACCAGCGCTGGTGAAAGGCCTGCAACGCTGAGGCACCAGCCACTGAGGCCGCTCCCTCGCTTTGGCACTGGCGAGGGCGCGCAGCAAATCCCGCGCCTCGCCGTTCCACCGGCCGCCGACCTCGATGCCGAAGACGACGAGCCGGTACCGCCGTGACGTAAGCAGCTCCGGGTAAGTCGTCTCCCGTTTTCGCCTTGCCGCTTGCTCAAGCACAGCCCCAGCTTGTTTGGCACTGCTGCCTCTGGGCTGGCCGTCCCTCCCGAGTGGGCTGACCATCGTGGCGTCAATGGCAACCGGAGCGCCATGCCACACGGGCAACGCAGACGCGAGGATCTCGATGCGCCGGGCATCCGAGACCGGGACATCCACGTTCATCTCCGCCACTCGGACATGCATGGCCACCCGCCCGCCCGCCTCACGGCAGACACGCGCGATCGCCCGCTCCACCCGTACAGCCCCTGGTCCGTAGCACGCCGGACGTCGGGCAGGCAGCGACATGGTCACCCAAAGCATCGGCGGGGCGCCCGCAGCGGCAGGCGCACGCAGATGCGGGAAGGGGCACGCGCAAGCGGCGGAGGAGGACTATGCGGAACAGCTCGCTAGGCAGCCGGAGCTCTGCGGCCGTGGGCAAAACATGCAGGGCTCTCCCCGCCTGAGGCCCCGCCTGCAACAACAGCAGCGCGCGCGACGCAAGGTCAAGGTCTGAAAACAGCGTGTCGCGCGCCGCCACGTCGGTCAGCGTGGTGGCCTCTCGCCAGGCACCTGGCCCGGCGCAACCCCGTCCCTGAGTTCCTGCCACATGGGCCTGGTGAAGCCCGGCGGCAGCGTCAGTGCCGCCCGAACAGCTTGGGCCGCACACGGCAGCCCGCCGCCGCCAGCGCTCAGCGCAGCCAAAAGGTCCGCCCCAAGCGCCGGCAGACGCTCCGGCAGAACCGGGAGGCTGTCGGCCCAGGATGCCCAATGCGCCGCAAAGCGCTCGCTATGCGCCGCAAGCCGAGGCCGCCGTGCACCAGGGGCAACTGCGCTCGCCGCAGCTGCAGCGCACCCAGCTCGGCGCCCTCCGGCACCGTGCAGCCGTCAGCTCCGACTCCGGCGAGCAAGTGGCTCAAGCAGGCTGCCAGCGCATCGTCATGGCCAGCGGCATACGCAGCTGTCTCAGCCGGCGGCAACGCTCTCAGCAAGTAGTTGCACCGTGGCCGCGCGCAGAAGAGAAGCAGCAGCCACGCCGCCTGCAGATCGGGCACGCAAAGGATGCGGTCGAGCAGCCGTTGGTGCTCGGCCGCTTCTGTTGCAGATAGTCCTGGACGAAGTTGGCATGGCCAACGGGGGTGCCCAAAACAACCAGGCCGCGCCGCTCGGGCGGGAGCGTCCAGGCGCCAACCCAGACGTCAGCCCCGCCCGGCCCTTGAAGCGCACTGGTGCCGGCCGGTTCTTCTCCAGCCGCGTTCCAGACCCGCATCTTCCCAAGGTGCACCTCCATGCCCGCATGCTCCTGCAGCACAACACGAGCAACGGTTGGCACACGGCGTACACATCGTCGAGGTAGGCGAACACGGCCTCCCCGGGGAGCCAGGTGGCAGAGGCCGCCTACAGCGTACCAGAGGTACGCGCTGCTTTCCGCATAGCACAACGAGCGAAGGGGAGCAACGGGGCGAGCGCATTGTCACCCGCAAGGCCCCCAGCATGCTGGCTCGATACGCGGGTCCCGCTCGCACAGGGCGCGAACGGCCCGGGCAGCAGCCTCCGTTCCGGCCCGGGTCCCGAGCTCGAACTGGAAGGGCCGGCAAGCTGCATCAAAGGAGGCTGCAAATTGTTGCGCCAACGTCCGGGCCACCAGCCGGCGGAAGGTGTCCCCCATGACCAAGCCGCGGACTCGACCGTTCGGCTTGCGCAGCGCCACCATGCGGCCCAAGCGAAGCGCGGTGGCGATGACTTCGGGGACGTCCGCCAGCGCAAGCCTCTGCGCGGCGTGGTGGAGCAATTGCATGTCCTCCTCTGAATCCAGGAGCAGGCGTAAATGCTCGTTGGTGCAGCCCGACGGGCCAGGGGCCGCACCTTGGCGAGCGCGGCGCAAGTTGTTGACGAAAGCGCCCCATGACAGCCTCACTGGCTCGTGTGGCTGGTGTTGGAGAACACCTTCAGGAATTGGCACTCGCGGGTTCTGCGGTCTGCGGGCGGGATCCCGGAGTTCGCGCAACGTCTCCTCGTTCCCTGGTGCCAGCGGCTCTGCCGTCAGTGCACGGGCCGCAGCCGAGAGTTCTCCTAAGTGCGCCAACGCCGCAGCCCAGGCGGGGGCGGGCCGGATCTGGCCCCAGCGGGGCCCGCGCCGGCTGCAGCAGCTGGGCCCACTCGCTCGCCCTGAACAAGCTTGCTCTTCGCTCGAGCTCAGCTGGGGGGATCCGCGCTTGGCCATGCAGCCGGGACAGCAGCATCCTGGGAGCCAGCAGGAACAGCTTCCATCCCACAGCTCCTCGCGCTGCCACGGTCCCAGCGCGTCCCGGATCAACCGGAGGCCGCTTCGGAGCGCAAAAGAAAGCAGGCCGCGCATCCAGCCTCCCCAACAATTCTGCCCCGCCCGCGGCCTTTGCCTTTGCCCTTTCCCCGCCGGGGGCCACGGCTGCGGCTGCGGCTGCGGCCACCTCCACCACCACCAGGGCCACGGCTGCGGCTGCGGCTGCAGCGCCGCTCTTGGTGAGCCGGCGGCCGCGCATAGGCGTCGGCCAGCTCCCGGAGCAGCTGCGCCGCGCCGACCATGGCGTCCATCTCCTCAAAAAGAGCCGGGCCCTGCACCAACCGCTGCAGCAAAATGAGCGCACAGCAGGCTCGGCAATGTGCCGCTTCCGTTTGCGCGTCACGAAGGCGGCAAGGACGGCACGACATAGTCGCCACCGGTTACTGCAAAGGGTCCCTAGGAGCCAGAAGAGCCAAA